ACCTTCTAACAAAGAGAGAGTAAGAGTAAGCTTTGAGTGAACCTCCTTGACAGCAGACTCCATTGCCCAGTCGTCCGGTTATCAGTAGATAAAGGTATCTCTATTTTCAATTCCAGGCAGGGTAAATTAACGGAGGAAAGCGATGTCTGATGCATCTTTACCACTCAAATCTATAGTTTGACGATTTTAAAGGGTGAACGTCAAAACTTTGTTCTAGAACAAAATTAGATCATCAATACTAATCATCCTTAAAGTTGCACGTACACCAAAGTAGAACATTTACACTGGCCGTCAAGTACTTGACGAGAAGTAGTGAACGTTAGTAGAGGTCAACTCCGGATTATTCTCAAGACTGTATGGCTCCCTAGTAATGTGACATTGATGTAAGATCGAAGATATTAGGTGACAACATTATGGCAAGTTCACAGTATTTTATTTGACATATTATTCTAGCAGCACAGACAACTACACTGTTTCGAACCAATTACCTCAACCCTATATAGTGAGCCTGACGAAGCAGAAACAACAATATAACTAGAAAGTCAACAAGGTCCCTTTTGTTATTAGCATAAATCGCCATGAAATATGGTAGTTCTCCGCGATTCTATGCCTACGCTGACAAAGACTACTTAACGGAGGTTTTCTGAGGTGTCATTATTGAAAAATAAAAATAATGGAGAGCATAAGATAGTTGGTATGGTGCGTCAGACGCATTTCTCATCGGTTTGAGCAATTTTGAGATGGATGCTTGGAACAGTAAACAGTCCATTAACGAAAATGTCTAGCATGTTAAAGTTCATTTTTTATAATTTATGCATCAACTATTGTTCTGAAAGTTTGATCGCATCCAGTTTTACAGGTACCAATCGTCTGTGAAGATCTGAGTAAACCTATTCATGTGAAGCGTATATTTGTATATTTATACATAGGTTCGCGTAAATCAAATTTCCGAGATTTCGGTTATTTAGCTTGATAGTTGCGTAACGGTTTAACTCACCGCTTCACGGAAGATCTTCAATAACTTCGGGATTTCAGAAAAATGCACCGAAACACCACCTCGCATGCACAGTGATGGCTTCTCTCACCATCAAAAAAAGCATTATGTGATCGGTAATGTATGGTAAGCAACTAACTCAAGTACCTTTCAGGAGCTAAATTGTCAACTTAACGAAAATATAGATAAATTGATCAGGGCGGAACAGATCACGAAGTAAAAAAAGAACGGAATGAAACACGAACGACTGCAAATTATGTAGTACGCTGATTGTGTACGAACCAGGCATTTCATTTAAGCCATTATTTGACACAACCAGGGATTCCAAAAAATTGTCCAGTGGATACTACGTGGTATCATTTTGTCCTTCCTTTAGCACAAACTATACACTACATCAGAAGCTTAGAATAAAAAAGGTTATATAATGGTGCCCTTCATCATTCGGGCTCGGTAAAAACCGTCAAGTCCAAACCACTCAGAAACAAAGAATGACTCTCATGCTATACACGAGTGTGGGGCCAAAGTTCGATAGAACTTACATATCTATGTTTTTAAATATACTTTAAGTTAAACTCTCAATTATGCAAAGGTAACAAATATACCGCTTTCTGATGATTAGTATTAAAATTCATGAATGAAGCGGTGGTGCGGAGACTTAAAATCACTGTTCTATCAAAAATTGAGCAAGTATTCGAGAACCCAAACCATAGGAGCAGAATACTCAGTAACATCTAAACGGCATTGAGATATTTAGTCTATTGTGCAAGCCGAATCAAACTGATGGAGTTCCACTTTTTACCCGTTTTCCGTAATAATGGGTACTATTTCAATGAAAGACGTCGAGAAAATCAATCATCACAAAGTTATGAAAAAAAATTGGGGATCAGAACGTCCCAACATATGTAAACTCATTCTTTAACTAAAAAAACCTTTTCAAGTCAATCAGAATCATCGTTCATCATGAGCCAACACAGCTTTCTCATTCGGCTCTCCGTAAACAGCCAGACAATGACGAGTTAAAATAAGTAAAATATCGTATGAAAAATATCTCATCAGCTGTTGTGCAATCCAGAATCAGAAGAATTCTGTTATGTTCTTTTGTTTGGATTTTTCTGGGACTTCATTGTGAGTTCAAGTATATCAAAAGGATGACAACGGTCAATAATGTCCCTGTAGCAGAGTTTAAATGTACATGCGAATATTGATACAGGGACGTTTGGATAGATATATTCACAAAACAAATTAAATTAATCCGAACAATGTGTTCTAAAACTCATACAGACACATGGTAAGGCTCAATTATCACAATCGGAAAAATGTTACCATTATACAAGGAACAATATTCTAGTTTATTTGGTTGGCTCTAAGAGAGAGTAACCAACAACAAAATAACAAAGTAAATTATTATACATATATTTGTGACGTAGCGGATACATACCATTTTTACAGGCACGTTCAATATTTTGTGAAAATGGGTTTAAAGATAAGATAGTACCCCAGTCAGGTTAGTTAGTAGTTAAAATCACTGAAAATACATAACAGAACATCTGCACAGATATGTCAGCAAGGTAATAAGTAGGTTGTATGCTAGCACTGTGCTATTTGTTTACATTCGTTATCATTTATCCAAAATTGGAACCACGTAAAAGTAACACAGAAATTATACCATTAGTTACGGGTTATCTACATGTAATGCGATTCAATTTCGTTGACATAGTAAAACAATAGTATAACCGCAGCATGAAATTTCTTGAAGATTGTCTACCGAATTTCATGATTAAATTCAAATGCCCTTCATACAAATCAGTACTTGGTAGGGAGCCGATTGGTTCCTTATTGAGTCGTTCGTCGCTTTTACTTTAAACCAGAGAACATACGATAAGTGTCAACTCTTCAATGTTGCTCGGTGCTGATGACTTCGTAAAAGTAACAAAGGATGCATGCTCAGTGTTATTTCAAGCAGACCTCGATATCCCAGTAAGCTTGTCCACTTACCAGCTAGTGCCGAGTAATGCGACCAAATGTTTCGAAATGAATATTAAACATACAGATGGCAGTAATTTTGACAGTGATTGAATCCACTGATACCGACTTACAACGACAGTAGGACGCTATAGTTAAGTCATTGCTCAATGCCATCTAATTAGAGACAAATGTTTTGGAAATTTTTTGAGCAATAATTATCTTGTGAAGCGCGAAAATGACAGCCGCTTAGTCATCTTTTGAGGTCAAAGGCTTATCATTCACATTGCGGCTTGAAAAATCAGACTTACCTTAGCCGTTTCGATGCGGATTCAGATATGATTCAATCGTTATATACCAGACATTATGAGATGGCTTTGGGTCCTATTGATCCTCACAATTTCTAGACTGTTTTAAGTCAGCTTTCTAAAAAGGACAGACAAGTTGGAGGTCAAAAATGAACCGATTCCCCATAACTAACAAGAGTCTCACTGAGTGGTCAACAAATTTAGTGCTTTTTTGAATGTTTGCCTTTAAGTCTTCCGTATTAAATGACGTAATTAACCATTGATAAATTTTGTTTGGAGGTCATTAAAGCAGATGATCTAAGTCGTATGGTTGTGTACCTACTGAAGTTGGACTGGAATGGTGTGAAAAACTATATGACGTCGAATTTACACCCTATGGTAAGTACCTAACGCGGACCACCCTTTGGTCTTATCCAGGTACCATAGATACTTTCGTGACCGAAGAATGTATTAGCAGAAGCAGGCACAAGAAACAGAGTGCTCCAAACGGGCCAGTCCACAGCCTACAATCAACAGATGAGCTTTGATTGTCCTTGACTTTGACGAAGATCGGTGAACCGTTCGATACTAAGTGATCCGGCTGCCGATTGATTTGACCTACTCCCTGTGACATTGAAATGGCCCCACGAACTAACAAATAGTCGCCTTAAAAAGCTGAAATGCGAAAGCTAATAGAAAATTCGTGTTTTTCATGAATTAAATCATAAAAAGGACTGGAAGATCAACCATATGACCGACTTATTAGCTATCTCATTATAGCTAAAATTATACTGTACAAAATACAGTGAGTGAATAGACAAGCAGTAAACTCAAAGACAGATAGAAACATCTTTACACACACGCATAAAGAAAAATTTTAGGGGGTCAACAAATGAATATATATTCGCTGTCAAACATTTGGCAGTAGCAAATCAGAATGCATGGAACAAACGGAGAAATTAGGACGGCTATAATAAATCATGTGGCCTTCTATAATGGAGAAACTGCCATCGATGTTCAAGCGGAAGTTGTGATGACTGCACTTTCAACTGACTATTATGAACGACTGGATTTCTAGAAGAATCATGATCGTGACATATGAATAATCAGTGACGTTTAAAATGTAAGCAGCTGGGATGACATCAGAAGAGCTTTATGGGTTACGATCGCTTTACCTAATTTTATTGTATATTGGACTATTGATAAAGTCTGAATGTGAGGAAATTCCACTATGTACGTTACATTTCACGGTCGATCATTATTTGGTCATAATTTATGTTGACAGTTAGTCGAATATCTGTCTTGTATAATTCATTCCTTCAAATATCAACTGGTGTTTCAGCATGTAGGGGTAGCATTAACTTCTCGAGGCACACAAAGCCGTCTCGAAAAGCTAGTGAGTTCAACGTTTATCGTGATGCTGCTGAAATTGTCGAAACCTCATTTGCTGGGGAAAATTTTGAAGAGTCAGTGAGTGCACTGAGACACGCAAAGTTAGTCGAAAGGCGGAAGCACAAGTTTTTAGTGCTTAAAAAGAAGTATTCTAAGTATGTTTGGTTTAATACTAGGTTTTTGACTGAACCAGTAATCCTGTAGAGTTGTCTGTACTAACATGGAGGGCAAAGGAGCAGGTCATGTTCTTGCTGAGTGGTGACGAAGGTATGGACTTTGAACAAATATCCAAGTCATTTCCAATAACCTCACAAGGTGCTGAAAAGCTTTTTGGGAATAAATCGTCACCTATTTTACAAAGTCGGGGGATATCAGTTGGCTTTTAAAGCACGATTCCCGCGTTATTGAACGCTGGAGTCATTTGCTTTCGTTCTTGAGCCGGATTTATCGTGGAGGGGAGGATGTTTCGGAATCTTCTGTTTTTGGCATGATACCTAATGGTCTAGCGTGGTTATGTACAAACGCGAAAATGAATCTTTTAATGTACGCAGACGGAAACCCTGAACTTCCTTTTCCGAAAAGACATGATAAAATTGTGAAAAAGGATCATTCATATGGTCATTTTGAGATGTATGCTGCTATGTTTAACAGTATGCCTAAAGATGAACTTTGTGATAAGTATACGCAGCATGTTCTTAATCTTCGTAAATTTGTCGAAACTTTTCAGAAAATTAAAAATCCTCCACCCCAAAATGTCCCATTTTCAGGTGACCATCACTCTCCACGGCTTTACAAATATTTGTTAAGTTGCGCAACTGCTGTTAACTCAAAATGTAATAACCAAAAATCAATTTCTCTTCCAAATAATGTAAAGCTCCGTGACTACTACACTATTCAAAAAATAAAATAGTTTTTCTCGGGATGGTGTTTGTTAATATCTTTCTGTCCATCAAATAATGTTTACATCACGAGTAAGTTCTGGGATAGCTGACTTGCATCCTGTTGCAGCAATCTGATGTATTTGGTGAACACCATCTGCATGACTTTGCAAAAGCGTGTGTGATGTTCATTTTTGTAACTGATGCGTCATTCTTTCTGGTTAATCAGGTAAACGCGTGTACAGAAAAATATGAGTTCTTTGACTCTCCTCATTGTCCACGATTAAGTGATTGCTGCAAGCGACATCCTTATCAGTCTCTTGTGCTGTATTTAATATTTGTTTAATGCATACAAATGGTTCAATAGTTTTAGTTACTCATAGGAAAACCAGTATTGAATTTCAGAACTTGCTTGTCGCTTTGATGATATTATTATTATTATTTAAACATAAACATTGGTACAATGGGGCACCAAATAGACATACACCATGTAAGTCGTTCTATTTGTGTGAGGGCTAAGATATTGCCCAGGTACCCAAATCGAAGCAGTTGGTTTTCTTAGGGGCCACTCTGAGCTTTTGACTTAAAGGTCTGGTCCACAAGGCCGTGGAGCAACGCAAGGAGATGCAGTTCCATGGTATACGGTCCATACGCCATTACTTTCCTTAGGATCCTGGAGCCCATCTACACCATCTGTTTGGAGTCAGGGTTTTTCAACTCCCCTAGGTAAATCCTCCGCATCCACCAACCGGGTGAAACGCCGGACATCCGATTTTCGTTCTCTGAATTTCGTAAACAACACCCCCGCCACGAGAAGGCAGTGAGTAGGACTTCTTGGGCACTGGCTATAAGCACGTGGCCATGTGAAAGCATTACGAGGGAGATATTTATTTATTTTAACACATAGATATTAGTACAAGGAGGCACCAAATACATATGCGCCACACAAATCTCATTTGATATGTGTGAGGGCTGTGATACTGCCCGGGTGCCCAAACCGAAGCAGGTGGTTTTCTTAGGGATCCGCACCCGGAGCCTTCGACCTGAAGGTCTGATCCACAAGGCAGTGGAGCATCGTGAGGAGATGCAGTCCCATGGAGTCGGTGACCAACAATTGGTTCATACGTCATTTGTTCCTTCAGGATACTGGAGCCCATGTGCACATTGGTTTGGAATCCGGTTAAAGCGCCGGACATTCGCTTTTCGTCCTCTGAATTTCGTAAACAACACCCCCGCCACGAGAAGTCAGTGAGTAGGACTTCCCTGGCAGAGGCTATATACGCGTGGCCATGTGAGAGCATTTCGAGAGGGAGAGCAGACTCTCTACTCTTGGCCATACTATGGAATTTGGGGCAATCTTTGATATAAAATTTCGCTGACGGTTTAGTTCAATGGCGCCCACGGAATCTGTCAACTAATTGAAAACCCTAATTTGGTGTTCTGACTTACTGATTTTCTTTGGTTGTTTCTTTACCATCTCCACTATCTTGAGAACCAAGCTTGACTAGTTAATTTTCAGTTACTACTATTTCCGTCATTTATCAAACAGTAGAATGATCATAAGTGATATTCATGTTGTCTCTAATTTCCACACGTAGGTAGGTAGGTATTAGGTCAATCCGCTGAAAATGTGTGGCATTTTTCGTCCGATGAAAATATAGTAGATTGAGTGAGTTTCCAACCTACAACACATGTTAAAGATGGGATGCCTAAGACCCATTCTACTTATTGCATTCTTACATAGGCTCGTACACATCGGTCAAGTTCCCGGCTGATTTATATTTTAATTTAATAGCTATCGTTAAAAGCGTCTAGAGACAAACCTTCAGAACATTTGCCTTTTTTAGTTCAACTCTTTCAAAGCTTTTATGATAGTAATAGTGATATAATGTTAATGCTCCACTCAAAGTGTTGGTTCAGTGCTCTATTGAGTCGTTTAGAAATTAAAATTTCCTGTTCTTTTAATATTTCAAGCTACTCTCCTCAAGAGTAACGTACTTTTTCCAGAGGCAATTCAGTTAAACGTTGCTGCTTAGATACATACATGAGCAGTCCGAAAAGTCCTGAGATATCCAAATAATCAGTTGTGTCACTTAAAGATTGGGTAAATAGGATCATTGGTTTTATGTTTGTTTTCATGATAATTTAATAAAGTTCAGTGCGCCTGACAGAATTTTAGCATTCCATTCTTTTTCGCAATTTCTGGAATTCCACCTTGCATCGTTTTCGAAGACTATATGTGAAGATAAATTTTAGTAAACTAATGGCGTCAATTTTCTTATTAGTCATAGATAGAAAGGAGGAAAAAATAACAGAAATCATGGATTTATAAAACCAGATAAGTACATATGTACTCAAATAATTATTTTTAATCCCCAGACAACCTTACTCTTAGTGGAAAACCTGAAAGTGTAGTTCTTAGGGTCTGATTATGCACATCAACAGAGAAGCTAGCTATGGTACAAGTTCTTTTCAAACCATCTTCAGGCATTAAGACTTCGATAAATGGCCATCTATATCAATATAGCGCAACTAATTCCCGGTGGTATATAACCTCGGCCACCACATTAAGGCAGTGGTTATCTGTCTAGAGTATTGATCTGAACATACTATTTCTAAATACGGGTTCATCAACTGAAAAACGTTTCAAGTATTTTTTTCTAAAAAGTCCCACAGTTCTAGTTTTTTCGGTGCTGGCAGTGACAGTATAAAAACCTAATTGTTGCTGAAATTCGTTTTCTTGCATCTACCTACCATAAAACCGTATTCATCACAAAATTCCACTGGTCCCTAAACATCTTCGGACTTCGTATGATTGTCTACATATTTCTTCACCTCAGCTGGTGCAAATAAAAAAATGCAGTTTGCCAGTGTTTCAATTTCAGGCAAGATTGCAGATAGTTATTAGTAAAAGCCTGTTCCGCATTTTACATAGCTTTGACAGTACTTTTTTAAACTCAGCTCAACAGTTCGTAGTTTGCTAAGACATAGTAAGGTACGTTACACAGGACTGATGTATGTCGAAAGCCTTCATTGGATATTCTGCCTAACGTTAGCAGCTGAGATAGTTTGAAATTACTTTTAAGGATTGGTTTTAAATGGTATCGTCGTTAGAGGTCATTAAGAATGGTACAGCATCTGTGATTGGAAATAATGGCCAGATTTTCGATTCATCGGGTAAATTTAGCCATATAAATGATACTGATTGATGGGACTGCTGGTTACATGCAGTCAGTGATTAGAGATTTCATCAATATATGGAATGGACTTTCCACGATTATATATTCTTTCATCACTTATCTTAGTTGAAAGTTAAAGATGTGAATAATTTTTGCGGTAATTTCGCAACCATTCTGATTTATGTAGTCATCAAAATATATTCAGTGGTTTTTCTGTTCTTGACTTCTCAAGAATTGAGATCCCGAAAAAGCTGGTCGAATTTCGTTTTATAACGAAGAAAGTGTCACTTTACCATAAGAAGGTTACTAGAATACAATTATCGGCGATTTTGTAGCACCTATTGTGTGTATCTAAAAAATCAACGTTGAAGTCATAATAGGACTTCACCTGAAGACGGCAAATCAGTAGATAAAGCCAGATGTGAATTTATTACCTCACAATCGAGTTCTAAGTGCTTCAAACTTTTGTACTCAGCCATTAAGTGAAAACGAAGTCCGTTTAATGTCTGAAATACAAAATACATATCTCGCATATATTATGTGTCTAGATTCTTTTATGGTCAGTGAGGTCATTTTAGTTTCCTTACAAATTTTATTATAACTATTTACCAATAAAAATAGATGGTACATCAAATATTTCAGGAGAAAGGCATAATCTAATCTCCAGATGAATTCTATTCTCACACTCTTAATTACATCTTATTTTATTGCGCCTTCAAACAATAGAGAGAATTTAGTTATAATGTGAATTATTTAAACCGAACTATCATACTGATGTAAACGATCTGGATCTTCGATCTCCAGGATCTACTTAATCTTGAGCATGAGGTAATTTCAATTTCGATGAACAATATATGCATTTGATCAGTTGTACCTTTTTTTCTGCATATATATATATATATATATATATATATAATTCCATGCAGTATTGTAAGGGTTTTACTGTCCGTACTTTGATTACTCTATATTTAACTAACTATGTTTAAATAAACATCGAGAATCCCCTAGGTTTCGAAGACATATTTTCCATCAAACGAATAACTGAATTTCCGTCGGTGGTTACATAACTTCACATTAATTTACAATACTTGCGAATCCTTTACTACTCAATATCGTTCAATGATTTGTTCTGGGATATCAGTTTTAAATGTCAAATAAAGACTAACTTTTCTATTTCACTTGCAGTAACCCTTGGCCAATCTTTTGTGAGGACAGGAACTAAAGTTTTAAAGTGGTGACTATGCTTAGGAATCGCACAATATACAAGATATCATAATTATCATTACAGAGGTTTAATGTGGTACTTTAAAGTAATTTGATCATTGGGTAGATTGTCAGTAATAAAATAGTGATATGCTCTTAATGTCACAATAAATAAAAATTTAAGTTCCTGAAGTTTACGACTTATTTTAAGTAAGATTTTCAAGACGAATGGATAACTAAACGTATTAAATTAATGCAAGTTTAAATATCTCAGGGGAACAAAGAGAAAATATTTAGTGTAACCAAACCACATCTCAATTCTACTCTTTCACACTATAAATATTACATTTTTACACCCTCATTAACGTACAAATTACTTTTTAATCGTAACATCCGCATTATTTTTATTTAAGCAATTTTATTTACATTTGAAATATTCCATCAAGAAATTCTTTTTATATAATCATGTAATCTCTTATCTGATCAATAGCTTTCTTGGAATGTGTGATATCGGATATACACTCAACTGAATTTCTTTTCAAATAAAGCTGACATCATTAACTAAAAATTATACTAACGTAATTCTATCTTTTATCTTTCTCTATGAAGGGATATTTACACAGCTTCACCTGGGCTTCCTCAGGATTTATCATGTCGTAAACAATTCGTATTAAAAATGAATCCCAAAAATTACCGGCTATTCAGGAAGATTCAGAAGCATGTTTACCTCCAATTGCTACATTTAGCCATCATGTAAGATTTTCCTCTTCGTTTAATCAAGTTTATATAAATATGGTTTTTATTTATTACTAGTTTTAGATATGATACAGTTAATTTTTAGATAAAAGTTGAAAGAATATCAAGTGTCTTATTCAAATTTATTTAAAAATGAACCAGAAACAACGTCTTACATGAACGCATCATCTTAACCCTTTACTTCTCAGTTTAGTTATAGGTTAAATAATCTCACGAACGTATTTTTCCAGTCTTTAAGTTCAAATCCTATCAGTAATGATAAATAAGTGAATGTAATTTTATCTTTCATTTCATTTAATACTTAAATGATAGACCTTGTTTATACAAATACATTTTGAAGATTATTGTTTAGCTTGAAATGACTTCCCTTTTAAATTCATATCATATAAAAAAAACTATTGAAAACCAGGAAACACTAGACAGCGGTATCTTTCTAGTTAGAGACTTTAACATCGCATATCCACCCCATGTAGAATCGATCCCAGGAATTGCATATTTCGCTACCATTACAATATATTTATGATCATTTGAGTGTATTTAGTGATTTTTAATCTAAGGCGTAAATTGCTGTTCAGTCCTCCTTAGTTTTCAGTGGTTCCCTAGTGTTATTATTTTCTATGGAAAACTATAGGCATCATGTTCTAATCCCTTCACAATTCACCTTAGTGGATTATTATTTATTTCTGAGAAATTACTTAATGAGAATTAATGTAACTGAATTTTATGCATGATATACTGATGAACGTTTCATAAAATGAATATTGATCATGCATATTGCTTTATTCGTTTCTCTCCTAATGCCTCACAGCGACAAAACCGTACTGGTCCTTGTTCCTCCTACGTTGGTAAGTCAGTGAAATCGGTTGGTCGGAAGCATCAAAAGCAATCAAGATCTAGACGTGCTGAGAATAAACTTTACTGCAATTGGCCACAATGTCCGCGATTCCTTCTAAAGCAGCCTTTTAAACAAATGTAACTATTTGTATATATTAAATAATCCTCTTCTGGGAATTTATGACTCAAATTGTTTTTTAGAAAATGTATAAACCCTGTACAGCTTTTAATCGATGGTATTCTCCCTACCAGTATCGATTTCATTGTTATTTGCATCAATGACATCACTATATAGATATAAATGGTCCATAATGTTCTGTATAAGAGCTCTCTATCGGATCCAGGACTTGATGTTTAGTTCTATTCAGATACTTGTTATCTGCACATTTCGATATCCTAATATATGTGTTCTCTATAACACCATAACTCTATATACATCGCTTCAAACAACAGGGTATTATTGTCTACGGTTCTGAATCGTAATAGTTACCAACGTGTTTATTCATAATGGTCTGCGCTTTCTTATTGAGGATATTCGGGACTAGATCGATCAGTTCATGTTGACATTAAAAACGATTATGATCATCATAAAATATTAGTGGGACATCATTCTGCCCTATAATTATGTTACTGATGAGTCTCAGATGGAAAGAAGTCAGTTCCATGGTCTACAGCAAAATATTACAAAATTTGCATATTTAAGCAGTGTTAAGATACCCACCTAAAACTCTATATGACATCTCTTCAGCCCTTAATATTAACAAAATAAAAGTTAAACACTTAAACTTATGTATAGCCCTGTAGTCAGTGGTTTAATAAGTTCACTTTGCACATAAGTTGCAAATAATCTTTGGTTTTCCATAATCACTTTTAGGTTGAACGTATATAATATTATCACTAAGCTGTCAAATATTTTTTACTCAATATTTTTATTTTAAAACCAAGTTTATATGATTTCTGATTCGAATCAGTCCATGTTATAGTCGGATACAAGTGTGTTACACTCACCACATTTTGAATTGAAGAAAAAGTGTTTTCAATTTTTATAGTTTCCAGGACGACAAATAAAGTTCTCAATTATACCACTCAACTGTGAGAACAGGATACTATGTAATCTGAAATACGGCCGGATTCTGTAATGAAGAGTGCTACTTACGGAATATGTCATCTATTAATAAGTATTTTTGTAATCTCTTCCGTTATAAGCTTATTTTTAATTAGATAAACAAGTATAGAAAATATAGAAAATAGCTATTGTTTACCTCTGTCAAAAACTCATTTATCTAACCATTGAGACTGGCTTTTATTTATTTTCGGAAAGTTGAGTTAATTCATCTGGCATCTCACTGATTTAATTGTTGAAAATATTTATATCTATCTACAAAAACATACAGTTCGGACATTTAATACTTGTTACATTCTTTCACCTTAACTTTGTGAAATTCTTATGTCGGTTTAGCCCACATTTAATCTTAAGGGTCGAATTTATCATTACTTATACTTTGTGACATTTTATTCTAATGATAGATAAAATAATTTTTATCATGAACTGATATTGTACAAAGTATGGTTAGAAACAATTGAACATTCGAAAGCTATTTCACTCTTCTAGGGATCCCTCAAATGTATGCACAATCTACTCTTCATGAGATTGGACAGAAAAACCCTCAGATTTCATGATAATACATTCAAGCTATTGAGTGGGAATTCAACTATTTACTTTTGGTTAATTTATTCTGATCACTGTTTAGTGTTATTGCTGTATAACTATTTCACTTCCAATAACATCGACTATACCATCCCTAGCTCCTCTTTAGGTGTTCGAGAAATTTGTGTTACAAAAAGTCACTGATGAGCATATAGTCATTTATTAGTTAGTCTGGTAGAAACTTTACTCAAATTTAAATAAATTTCCATAAACCTCTATATTAATCAAGAAATTCCGAATTTTGACAGTGAATTTCATTCATTCTTTATCTATTCAAGGACTCATTTGAAACGTCATTTACTTTTACATAAAAATCATTTAAATCTATCGTGTTCACAGTGTGGAAAACGCTTTAGTTCGAAAGAAAATCTTAAAAGGCATACAAATGTACATTCAGGTAATTATTTATTTGTACACATATTATTACTCTCCTCCTTTCTGTATTGATGTATATGCAATATTTGCGCATACACAATCACTTTACTTTGGAGAAAAATTAACTTGGTCCGGTCACCGATTAATTATTTTGTACATAGTTACTAGCTTAAATCCCTAATATATGTTCATCTAATCATTCTGCTTACCAGTAATCCTTATTTCTGAAATTTATTTTGAAATTTGTGGGTCGATTCTGTAAGGAAATGATCATTTTGGTTGTTATAACTGCATATTTTATTGTCATCCAGTCTAGATTAATTGTACTATTATGTAACTTAATTAATTGCCTCAATCGTATATTGCTCTGAGTGTATACTCTCATTTCTGCATAGGCTGCTTATACCTTGAATCAAAAACGATAAGGGAATCAGAAAAAAAGGGTTAAACAGATTTGATTGATTGATGATTGTTAGATTTAGTAGTGATTTGGCTTATACCCTAGGTGTATTATAAATCAAGAAACATTGGACTGATAGTTCGTTCGGATTTAAACTGTTCAACAGTACTCACCTTTTTCTTATGGCTTTTAATACACTAATGTGATTTTAATCTGGTTGAAAAGGTTGGGCTTACGAAGTGTTGATGAGAGCAGCTGTGATATATGGCTGTAAAGCCTAGCTACCCTTAGCGGAGGATGTTCGGTGACTCTCTGTCTTCTGTCATTATTGTCTCCGAAGGATCGCCAACATCTAGTCTTAATACTTTGTCAGTAATACAGAGACTCGGCATCCTGAAACATTGGTTTCGGTGGTTTAGATATGCTTCATGAATGTTGTACTGGACGATCCTACATCGTACGTTGATTACTGATGTTAGGACTGGTTGGGAAACCATTGTGTGGTCAGTTTATGTCATGTAGCCGTTGTATGGGGGATAGAATAGGGCTAGGATCTATCGACCCATCGCGACTCTCAATTTACGATCCTAGTGATGATGTGACTCAGTGGTTTGTGACTTTATCAGATACAGCTCTGAATGGAAGCTGGCAGTAATTCTGCTGTGGCTTTCTTTTACATTCTACATGATTAAGAGAAACTCCCCCAACTGAAATAAACCTACTTTGATTGTATTTTTGACTGAACTTTATCTCCTATTATAATATGGTTCTTGTTCACTTATTATTTTTGTTGTGTTTCCTTTCAGCTTCATATTTTTTTTATAATCTTATATCATTATCTTTGTAGCGCATACATTTTTAGTACCCTGATGCTCCAGATTTTTCGTATATTGGATAAAAATTATAATACTTCCCTGGGTAGTATTTGTTTGTCGTGAAAATTGTCTTCTAAATATTTCGGTTTAGCAGTATTTAATGAATGTCTACTTTTATTCTCTTAGGCTTAAAACCATATATGTGTTCAATTTGTCATCAAGCGTACTCTAGAACATCAGAAAGATCCAGGTGTATGAAGAAGCATCATTTTGAAGATAAATATTTATCTGAACAGGATAAACAATGTTTGTATAAAGATGTTTATAATGATTGGAATTCTTCTGGTTTATCTGCTTTACAAATCGAAGATCAAATTAATCAATCTCGTCCAAGACCATATATCTGTCAAATATGTAATGATCATAGAGCATATACAGATCCAAGTTCACTTAGAAAACATATGCGCTCTTATCATGCACACTTGAAAAATGAAAAATCTATAACTAATAATGATTCTACCAATGAATCTGTTATGTCTAAATCAAAATTATCTGTATGTTTAAAATTAATTTGCAAATTTAACTTGTTTTTCACATTTCGGTTAGTTTTACCAAAAGCAAGAAACAAACAACAACTTGGTTTACATAATTTTATTTAAGTTATACGTAACATTATTTATTATTATTTATTTGAACACATAAATATTGGTACAAGAGGGCACCAAATATATATGCGTCACACAAACAATGAGATTTTGAAGAGAAAAAGTAAAAAAAATAGGTAAGGAGCGTAAAAGAAAAAAAAGAAAAATAACGAACAGATTAGTGTAAGGTAGTGTAATAATAATAATGGGGGAACGGAAAGGTACAATCAGAAGAAATCTATCAGTTAAGGAAGATACAACCACTTTTTATGAAGAAAGTAAAAAGGTTACATCAGGATCGCCACTGGTTTCTATTCTGAGCCATATCTGATAACGTCTCTAGCCACTGTGTTGCACCATCTCTCGGACCCCAGCCAGGGAGTCGTGAAGGACCGACACAAGCCAGCCCTTTGCAGCTTTCTTTCATACCACGACACCATGTCATACACTGACCACCTCTCCGCTTTTTCCAACCGGTCCCAGAGTCGGCAAATGATGAACGGCGTGGAATTCTCTGGGACGACATTCGTAGAACATGTCCAAGCCACCGAGGTTGGTGTTTCAAGATGGTGACACCAATTGCTTTATCGTTTCTGTGCCCGAACACACGTAACATTACATTTTTCCTGTTCACAAAATTATGTTAAAATTTGTAAACTTAATACTGAAATAATAAAGTATCTATCTATTAAATATAGAAATATTGAGAATGTGGCATGAATAAATCATGGAAAGTAGTACATATTTCTCATAGAATGGTTATGGAACAGTTTGAACATTATGACTGTAATTATAAAAATGGATTTTTACAATCCCACAGTTATTCATCATTTCATTAAATTATTTATTTAACATCTAACGTAATACTGACATATATGAATTGTTAAAACTTATCACAAAATGAGTATGAATTCAAATTTATTGTATTTTATCAAAATAAATCTCTCCTTAAGTCTAAACTTGCCTTATACATAGACAAAGAGAAAGTACTTGTCAATTTTCGATTGTCTAGGCAACTTCAATTTCTAATATGCCATTGTGTAATTTCTCATATTCGATTTTTTTTTATGTGATCCTTAATCAGCATAAGTTACTAGTGAAAATTGTAAGTAGATCTATAATTCTTACATTTATCACCTGGTTCACCTAATTAATGCAGTTAATGTTTACTTTCATAAAATTTATGTCTCTATCCTATTCTCAGCTTCTTTTGCGATATGTAATAAATTTTGCAAACAAGTTGTACTAATTCCACCATCCTTATTGATTTCATTTACTCTACAGTTATATTTTTTGGCTGAGTTAGTCGATTTTATTGCTTGACGGAAAATTTGTATAAAGTTGTTGTCAGGTAGAAGGGGGAGTTATTGACCCAGTAGCATCTTGCCACAATTATACATCTTGTTGTATTAATATTATTTCTGAAGTTTTTTTAATTTTTTCCATTCTGAACCAATTTAACATATAATTTATTTGTTTATGTTTTGCATTACAGAAAGCTCTTCCATGTGAAGAACCTATAAGTCTTGTACTCGCTAATTCAACCACTGATATAGACGCAGTTGATCCATCTGATTTGTCATTTGATAATTCATTCACTCCAGAATCTAAATCATTAATACTTACAAGTGAATCAGTTTGTCCTATGATTATTACTCCATATAATGTTTTAACAACGTCTATGACATCATCAGAAATACCTGTTACTACTAATGTTATGATTTCTTTTAATAATAATAATGTTATCACGGAATCAAATATTTCAACAAATATTATTACTACACCTAGGTATCATTTATTATTAACGTCAGATTCTGTTGTATCTTCAACAATGATGACGGTGATTTCAATGACATCAACCACTACCACTAGTACTACTACTACTACATTAAGAAATGAATATGATAGCGATGTTGCTGTGGATTTATGTAATTCAGCTTTATGCCTACAAGTTTATTCCGATAAAGTGAGTATTGAAATGAAAATTTCAATAAAAAGTTTGTTGTTTTTTCTTGAAGAAGTAGTAAACTTCATTTTCGATGACATATAATCAACCAAACAATTACAATTATATTCTTCTAACGATATTCTTTCTTCAAAATTGCCAAATCAAATCTTGCCTAATATTTACTTATTACTGACAACTTTTATCAGTAGTTAGATTTTAGTTTTTGAAAAATACCCATTGAAAAAACATTTCTACTTATCAGGTAACAGTTTGAAATGTTCATACGATTTACCATTAAACCGTTTCATTTCATGAGAGCTTTCGATTTCACTCATAATACATTAGAGTTTAATAATCTTTTAATTCATTTTGTGCTGTTTGTTTGGATCTTCCTATTGATATTGAGGACTTCAGTTGATTCGTCTTATTGGCATATATGCATCCTCTGTGGATTGCATCGATATTTCCTTAAGTTGCGTCCTAGACTCCACTGCTAGCCACCACTCATCTTTACTTATAATGCTTGCGACTTATAACAATATCGAGACAATCCGGACAGGATGCAAATATTCCAATAAGACTGATCAATTTTGATCCTAAACATCAATGTGAAAATTCAGACAATAAAAAAATGGATTAAAACTCCACCCTATTGCGCAAGCTAGTGGCTCCCAGGACTCAGTCGCGTAGTGGATAACGCGATGGCGTTTGAAGTGAACGGTACTGGGTCCGAGTGCCAGAATTAACATCAGCTCTGAGATGCAAGTACATCCAGATGAAGAGTCCCAAATAGGATGAGACGCACGTCCTGGATTCCACTGCTAGCCACCATCCATCTTTAATTATGATCCTTATTGTTGATAAGTAAGTCAGATTTGGCAATACATCAATCAGCGATCAGTTCTAAAAAATGTAAGTGCCTAAAGGTTGTTAGAAAAGTGATGAAGTTTTAATTAAGTAAAAGATTCTTCATATAGCACAGAACATCTTTTATGGTAACTTGGAAATTATTGCTACCATCTTGCATAGTGAATTTGTGGTTCAGTCATCTCGACTTGCGACGATTACGTTACGGGTTAATATGTCACTTTTTCCTAATTTTATATGAATAACGAGTTGGTATTGTAACTCATTCTTGTACCACCCGTATGACTCTATTGTGTTCTACAGTTGTGAGATAATTACTGAGAGCTAAAAATTACAGGGAATCGGTGAATGTCAACCAACAAACGACAACTACTCTTCACCTGTTGTTTGGTCACAGAGGTATTACGTAGGGAACGTCTGGTATTATTTTTTGCAAATGAGTTCCAATTATTTTCACAAAGTGCAATATTGTTTCACAGCAACCTGTATTTACAGTTTGCTGTTGCTGACTTTGGAAAACAGAACAAAATAACATGTTACAAAACGAAGCGATAAGTGATGCAAGTGGGTATGTCATTGTTGAAATTATGTGAGTTTGTGTCTATAGAGACATTACAGTGCTTAGAAATATGGATCTTAATTTTGTTACAAAAAGTATTTCTTATATCGACTTAAAGCTTAGCACATAAATCTGTCTATGGCTTCGAAAAATAACAATAAATGTAGTCTTTCTAAGTGGAAAAACCTAAAGTTGTCTGTCATTCTTAATATCTAGTCTATACAGTAAAAAAGTAGTTTACATTACAAATAGTTGCAACTATTTTATATGTAATGTATCTTTTGTGCTGTTCCAAGAAAAAAGAATGTAATCATACTTAAGTTATGTGAAAGTGATTTATTGGTTAAGGAATTCACTATTTAAATGTTATTGGTTTGAATTGCCCTCCAACTATTATCACTATGGCTTTAAATAGAAAGAATAGGCAAAAAATTTATTTTTCTTTAGTCATCTGGATAGTGTCACTATGTGTCACATACATGAATGTCTACTTGTATACTGATTTTCATAGTTTATGGAAATAGTTCTTTTTTCTATTTTTCATTGTTAAAACAATCCTATATGCTTTTGGTTGGTCATATCAAATCGATATGAATCTCTGAACCTAGGTTTCATTATAATTCCCACTCATCATCAAGGCGTATGTACAGCCCTAAGGGAGCTGGTGCTATTGCGACAACGGATGATTTCCTATCGATTCAGATCAGCTAGTTGTCGCAACATCACTTGATCGACAAGATTCTGTTGGCCATAAAATCCAGGCAAGCATGGGATTGGTTACTATGTATTCGGTGTTCTGTAGTAATGAAGGCAGTTAGTATGGTTTGTGGTGAATCTTTTAATTTCATCATGGATACGGTTGTGGACAGACGTTTGAAATCTTGCAAACAGTTAAAATGTAATATTTTATCAATTACAAACCATCCATTTCGTTCACATCTTTTCGTTGCATATTCTCCGGAGAAACTAGACGCAGTTACATTAAAATACAGGCACGCAAAAAAGTACAGGAGCTCTACAACACCGTATTTAGCACACACTATGCGATGACTAGATTATAACAGCTGTCATTTAATTTTGGATAATTTAACAATTACTTTTATATATATATATATATATATATATATATATATATATATATATTGTTGTTCATGTGTTACGTATTCTATGCTACGCCTTCTATACTGTACTAAAAATATTATATTGCATAATTGCATTATTACTACTGGTCAGTAGCCAATTATTGTAAGCACTGTTTGCAAATGAGTTAGTTCACAGCTCGTTCGGATAACTTGGAAGAAAATATCGATCGGATCTTTCTATATATGTCTAGAGATGTTTGACTTTTATAGTAATAATAAAATAAATGAAAGATTGACATATCTCGTATTATACTCATTGTTGATTATACTTTTTCCTTAGATATTCAAATGTATCATTCTCTTTTTTCCGTTTTACTCTCCGTTGTTTTGTAGACATATACCCCTGTATCTTCGTCAGAATTAGGAAGAGTTGATTCATTAACTCTACCTTTATCAACAGTGAATTCATCTAACAGCATTATACCACAATATATTACAGAAACTAATCGAATTATTGACAATGGTCTTTCATCTAAAAATTTATTTTATTCAAATTCTGGTCTTGATCTTACTGATACACATTATTTTACATTGACAGGGGCTACTGAAGCGATAGATTTATCACTTGATCCCTCTGTAGATATAATAACTGTAAATCCAATTGATTTAAGTTCCTCACAACATTGTACAACATTGTTTTTGAATCGTCAAATGAATGTACCGATAATACATTCTTTACAACACATACAATATGGGATCCTGAACCAGGTTTCAGTTTTACCGACCTCTTACTTACTAATAATGATGAAGAATGCGAAACGGAATTCCCTGAAGTTATAATTTACCCTGAAAATGCTATTTATCGTTCAAACGAAACGTTAACTTCTTTTACTACAACTAGCCACAATGATACTACTAAGAAGTCCGTAATCAGCAGTGAACTGAAAATACCAGATACACATATCTCATCAATGAATAATTGTTATATTCCATCAGATACACCAACGACGACCATAGAAACAACCTTAACTGGAGGAGTCGGTGGAGAAGGAGGTTATAACATACAACCACCACCTTTAGACTTACGCTTAATACAGTCCAATAATTTTTATTCATAAAAATTATCTTTTGTTTTAGAAGAAAATGTACATTATCTCTTGTGAATATTGTTCATATTTGCGTACACTCTAGTATTTCTTTTTATCTTTCCCACTTTATCTATTCATTTCACAGCGTTTTGTCTTCAAAAATGTAGTCTATTCATATGTCATATTGTATATATGCTAACAGATTTCTATTATTTTCTTTCCTGGTATAAATATATACTTTCTTCGGAAAGTGTGTTAGGTCTTTTTTGACACTTAAATAGGAGTTTTGTACTGTTTATGTATGTAGATAGAATTGATTGAATGCTTCTTGTTCTAAAAATTTTTTGGTAATGTTTGTGTATGTGTGTGACTTCCCTATGTTACTCACTACTTATAGGTTTTAGTATTCGGCTGTGAGTCATATTCTGTTTTTGTGTGAACGTTGGTACTACCATTTAGCTGCCCATGCTAAAGTAGATGTACGGAGGTTAGACTATGTAACACTAGCATTTTATTCACTTAATCAACGCTCGTTTGTGTAGCCAAATTATTTCATGACTGGATTGTATCCCTGCAGTCAAATTTAAGATTAAATAATGATATAATTCGTTAGTTTTTGTATAGAATCTAATCTGACAAATTACATATGCTATTTATTGCATAATGGTACATGTGTTAATTTTTAAAAAAAAACGTGATATACGTCACCTTATTGTAGAGTAATCAGAATATTTTACTGATTGTTTTTAAGGAATTAACTCCTGGTAGATTGTACTATTTGTGAGTTCATACATAATCTAACGAAGTGCAACACTTAATTTAGTCATTTATGCGAGCGCATAAAAATCTGGTTACAGCATAGCACCAAAGAAATGTAATGCGCCACATAAAGCAAGAATAACTTTGTGAGGAAAACGGAGGACTTTAGAAGAGAAGAAAACAGTTCATAAACAAAATAATTTACAAGAGCAGTGTGTAATGGGATAGACAGTTTAGTTAAAAATATAAATGATACAATTTAGAATTCTTTCGTTTAAAGGAGTTCCCCACACATTTTTGAAGACTGTAAAATAGCGTCACTATTGGTTCTTTTTTGAGCCGTGTGTGGTAACGTCTTGAGTTACTGTGTTGCATCATCTGAACTCCGACCAGAGAGTCATATCGCAATATTTCTATACCATGACGCCATGTCATAGATTAACCGTCTCTTGCTTTTGGGATGACTCTAATTAAACGCAGAGAGCCGCTTGAGATCTTCAAATTGGAGAGGTTAGGTTTCAAGAGCACAGTATAGAATCACTCTCACCGATACGTTGTAAACCCAAACCTTTACAGCTAGAATAGCGTCATGAAAGCTATATTTGTACAAGGCACTCTGACTGATTTCATTAGTCAGATCACCAGCACTCACGCAACTACACAAATTCATGAACTTTCAGGCTTCTAACGGTATATTTCCAACAGTGATTGCAGCCTCAGATTACTGTTAGCCCTGAAAAATACTTAACACCTCGAGGATACAAAGCACCTACCATACTTACTCACACTGTGGTGATATATATAAGTACACAGAAAAGATAGACTGCTAAATCTACCAGGACTGAGTAGTGTTAGGTTCTTAAAGTTTTCGACTAAATATTCAAAATAATTTCTAAGGAGGGAAGGGATATCACTAGTTAACTAATCCTCCACAGTAAGTGTGAATGGCATACTTTCAATTTAACTGGCTAAACTAATTATGTGTTAGATCAGAGTTGAACTTGAGACCGGATTTCTGATATATCATTTCTTTTTAACAATAAGCTACTTGGATACTATTGTATCGACAGGTGTCTTATATTCCAATTTATTAATATAAGACTATAATAAAATAGTTGATGTAAAAAAATAAGATTTTTAAAACGTTTGACCTCACTTTTGTAGTTTATTTTGTGTAGTTTAAATGTTTGACCTCTTGAAAAGCCGAATTCTATTTAATTGGTTGTTATTTTATAGATATGATTTATGGCCTGTAAATAAAACTGAACACAGAATGAACTTGATCTAGATAACATGACTAGATCTATTTTGATTGCATTAAATATTCTGCTTTTTCCTCTGTACTTTGTAAACTTGTGTTAAATTAATCTGGTTATTGACTTGTATATTCTCTGAAGAAGTGACCTACACTAAGTTGCAAAACGTCATAATTCAATTTCCGACTAATATGGATATTAAAATCACCCATTATTTTATTGTCATAAATGGTACACTCAATGTTCAATTTATCTAAAAATATGAAGTCAATACTTGGTCATAAACGATATGCACCAACTGTATCGATGTTGTTAAGTAACTTTATTTGCACTTCTATTTTTTGCCTGAATGATTTTTTGTAAAACTATCAATAACTGAATAAATGCTTAATTTTGTGAATATATTCTACTTTTTATCTGAATGCAGAACTTGTATTTTCATTGCCTTTTTACTCGACGAGAAATAATCTTCAGTATCATAGTGCTTAGTAAGAGCCAAAACCTTACAAATATATATCACGCTTAAATATCTTATGTACACCCTAGGATATCTTATAAATCTAGTATTTGAAATGTATAACATGTTAAGGGTTTTCTAGTTAGTAATTGATTCTATTTTCAGATCTTGTTTCTTGTCTTGTACGTATGTAGTTATTAACCGTATACTTGGTTAACATATGATTATGTTTAGAAATAAGTAACATACAAATTTCAGTAAAATTGGATCGGTGATAGCAGTAGAGCCAAGTTATTTTCTATCTAGACACAGTAGATCAGTATATAATACATTAGTATTTGTAGTGAAAGGTATTGTGCTTGAGTCTCTGTGTGAACATCAACACTAGGCTCATGGTATAACCATCTAAAGACACTGGGATAGGGTGAGAAAAACGAAAAGGTGATCAGTCTATGACTTGTGATCAAAGGTGCTATCAAGACAATCCCATTAAGTTACAGATTTGCTTATCAATACTGATCAAGTGGCGTTCTTAATATGTAGCTGGCATACTTTTCATAAAAGATTGATCAATCTATGTTGGTATAGTCCATTTTTACAGACAAACTAATAATTTTGTTTACTTATTGATTTGTTTTATGTATATATATTCATAGTTGGTCGGTAAATTATTTGACTGTCAGATCAATAGTGCTAAAATTAATTATGATTACAGTTTGCTTTTCTTGAATGCAAAAAACATTACATTCATACTCCGTACTGAATAATTAAAAAAATTGAATGTGCATGATTTCATATTTGTTTATTCAATAGAACATTGAAGGGAAAAGTTGATCTTGTTCACAAATATATCTGTGGTAATCCAACCATATGCAAAGGGATTTCTTTTATACATAAAATAGTCGGTTTTCATAAGATGATATCTCTACAAAGCATAACACTGTTTAGCATATATTTTGTTCAGTACATCAGTCAGCTACAACGTAGGACCAGGCACATATGTGCATCGGTCCAGGTTGCCATACCGCATCAGCACAACAAGATGAACACCGGATTCATAGCAGTGGTTAGGTCAAAGGTGGTAATAAATAAGAGGAAGATTGCATATAGAGATATAGTACAAGAAGAAAGAATCGGTTCGTAGAAAGAAAGAAATGAAGTGATTTTAATCAGTACATAGCCAAAGGTATTTATTCACCTGATCAGATCAATGTTTAAATGTAATCGAGTAAACAATCATTGTTCCTCACATACTGACCTTGTGTTGGTAAGTGATTTATGGGTATTGATCCAATTCAGTGGGAATATAATCTAAAAATACAATTCTGTTGTTTGTCAGTCTGACTAAAACTATTTTTTGATTGGTTTAGGTCCTATGAATTGTTAAGTTAAATAATCAAATAACCCTCCCTAGTGATTAACTTCAAGGTAGATTTCCGAAACACTAGGCAGATCCAGTGTACAGTATTGTTCGAAAATATCAAGGATGAGACTGTTATTAGTACGAACGAACTTTACTCACTGATTCACTTAACTTTACAAAGGGAACCATTGTAAACAACATGTATGCCATGAGATTTAGACATCCTGATTTGAATCTTGTGTTGGGTTCTAGGTATACGCAATGGTTGTACATAGTATCAAACTAGAATGTAACAGTTGTGTTCAGTGCATTTTAGTTTCTAACAGTTCTTCAACGGATAATATAATTCAATATAACTCAGTTACTTAGACTCAACTTTGTAAGGTTTTAACACATTAAATAACACCAAGTCATATAATTTGTTTTCTCTTTGTGTAAAAAACAACCTAGTCAAATCAACCATTCAAATCAGATTCACAATCGCATCATATGGAATGTGTCAATCTAACTCCTTTTGGTGAATTCCTAGTATGGACTGCGGAAGGTTAGTCGCATTGTACAGAATTTTTAAAAAACTTTCATACTTATTTTCTCCTTCAGTAAGTGTTTGTTGAATGTTTTAAAATGACCCGGAGCTACAGCTATGCTCATGATAATGATAATAAAACTGCTCGTTTTATTTCATTCCAAATGTTCAACTACAGTAAAACATTCTCAGTACAAAATATACAACATGACAGCAAAATTTTCATTTTATGAATATTTGAATTGTGAGTATTCGAAAAGTATGAGTCAAAAGTTTTTGAACATTCATTTACTACCATTTTTATATGTTTATCCATAATTTATGCTCCGACCATATCTTTTTCCATCGATAAATATATTTGATGCATGAATTCTCTAGTAACCATCTTACATTTCTCAAAAGGACAGACGATCATGAGGATCATGTACAAATCACCATGGTGGTATTTCTTTAATTTTTTAATCATCAGATTCATGATAAGTTATAAACATTTTCTAGAAGCATTTTATTGAAATGCTTAAATAGTGTAATTAAAACACCAATAGAACAGGATGATTTTTGACATTCAATGCACATTTGGCAATATGATGACCGCATCTCCTGACGTTATTCCACTGCCTTTTGGATTAGACCTTTAAGTTGAAGGCTCCGAGTATAACCCCCAAAGAAAACCACTTGTTTCGGTTTGAGCAGCCGGACAGTATCCCAGCTCTCACAAAAATCGAATAATTTATGTGGCGCATATCTATTTGGTGCCTCCTTGTACCATTGTTTATGTGTTGAAATAAATAAATGACACAAACGTTTCACAAGGCCACCGAACTATATCACTATAATAATAATTTTAATTATGGACAAAATATATTTCGAATTTATTAATTACTGTATGTTTTATTTAATTTTATGATACCGTTTGTTTTAATTTATGACTTGACTTGTTTTCATTAACAATAATTATTCATCCATTACGCTTATAGCTTTATCATTTACTTCGATGAAATAGTCAGTGTTATTTTCAGCTTTCATATATTATCGTTACAATCAACTCAATTTGTATATAAAAGATGTGAATGTAATCAGTAACATATAGTGGTTATATACCACCAATATATATTCTCCAGTTGTCTTACAATCTGACTAGAGACATTAACCATATGTAAATGTTTGGCCAATATAAATCATATTCTTATTAATTGAGAGTCTACTTTATCCATCATATATCACAAATACTCTATAGAATTAAAGATTTAATGCATAAATTTGTATATAATGAATTTATTTGATATAGTTTTACGATTATTCTCCGAATTTTTCTTCCTAATTATTTTCTCTTGTTAGTATGTATCACTTTTTAAAAAGTCTACTATTAGCTTATTCCTGAAATGTTTAGATTTGAAAATAGGTTGAATATTTCTAGCCCCCAAATGCCCTGGTACGGCCGAGAGTGGGATGAGTCCTCTCTCCCTCTCGAAATGCTCTCACATGGCCACGCATATACAGGCTCTGCCAGGGAAGTCCTACTCACTGACTTCTCGTGGCGGGGGTGTTGTTTACGAAATTCAGAGGACGAAAAGCGAATGTCCGGCGCTTTAACCGGATTTCAAACCAATGTGCACATGGGCTCCAGTATCCTGAAGGAACAAATGACGTATGAACCAATTGTTGGTCACCGACTTCCATGGGACTGCATCTCCTCACGATGCTCCACTGCCTTGTGGATCAGACCTTCAGGTCGAAGGCTCCGGGTGCGGATCCCTAAGAAAACCACCTGCTTCGGTTTGGGCACCCGGGCAGTATCACAGCCCTCACACATATCAAATGAGATTTGTGTGGCGCATATGTATTTGGTGCCTCCTTGTACTAATATCTATATGTTAAAATAAATAAATAAATAAAAGCCTGATTACTAAAATTCTGTTATCACTAAAATAAAATAGGATTACGTTGATTACTATCCATTGAATAAATAACACATGGGTATTCATAGCCTAGATTATATCAAATAAGACGTAGGATTAGAATTGTCTATTTCGGAGGTAAATCCGCCATATCCATTGATTATTTATTTAATAGTTATGAAAATTCTCTAACAGTCGTTTGATTGGAAGGAATTCTTGACCAACTTGTATATTCATATTTATAAAAGTCGAGTGATTATTTAGTGAAATCATGTGTATTTTTGTTGTTGTTGTTGTTGTCTATTCTTCATGCTTTTAAGAATGTTTTTTACCGATATTAAATACATACTGTTGTTTCGTAATAGAATGCACTACCTTATAGCAAATACAAATTACGTACATATATATTTCTTAAGTTCACTATTCAATGGAATGTATTTAGCTTAAGTTCTTTTTCCTTAAATATCCAATGCCTATTTATTTGTTTGCTAGTGTGTATTTTCCCTAAAACAAAAGTCCATTTACGTACAAAGTGCTTTATTCATGCTTTTTTCTTTCTTGTTTATTAGTGTACTATCATTTCATTACAATTTGGTTGTTTGTTTGTTTGTTTGTTTCTATTCTGTTGTTTATACTGTATTATTGACAAAATTATTGACTTCATTAATTTATCTTTTCGACAAATTGTTTATATACCGATTTATATTATTGTCATTTTCTTTTATTATTATTCTATAAAGCTGTTATTTGGTTACGTCGTAATTATCGAATTATTGGTCGTGCTTCATTACCATTGGATTTATTCAAAGGATGTTATCATAATAAATCAAAAAAACCAGATCGATTACCTGTACGATTAAGTTTTGAAGAAGTTGCTTTACTATTATCTAAAGGTTTTATTCATGGTATTTTATGTAGTAGACCAGTAATTTCTGTTGCTGAACCATCAAAAGAAACAATTGAAGCATATCATGATGCATTAATGAAGAATGCAGAAGAAATGGTAATTTTTGATTGATATTTATGGATGCATAAATATAAGTTTATAAAATATTATACAAATGATCTGTTGTTTCAAAAGGATTTACATGATAGAATATTCTGTTATTTGATTAGTTGTAATTACTTAAATTAGACGCATTAGATGTCTTTAAGGCTTTACTCTATCATATAGTTTTCAACTGGGGATTACGATTATTGAAATTATTTTAAATAGAAACTCTCCATATCCTGATGCAATTCAATTCAATCATGAATTATTTCATAAACTAATGACATAATTTGAACTAACCACCCCTAGGTATCTTTTAATCTAATCCTATGCTTGCCAGCGTAAGATATCAGTGTTGGCAGTCGTTGAATCTGGGTAATAAATACGTTGATCATTTCATTAAATAAAAGTTCATAGTTTTATCAACTGATTTACCACATTTACTTAGTACTGTGTACCTAAGTTTAGTATAACCAATTTAATGGTTCTTTCATATCTAAGCAGTGTTTTAAAAATACTTTTGAATAAATAATAATCAAATTACTTACATCTAGATCCATTATCAGTCATATATATATATATATATATGGTATTACAGATGAAATTACTATCCAGTAAATCTATGTCCATTACTACATAGATAGACCTTTCTTTTAAATCAAGTTTGATGACATCACTAGAAAATACCACTTACTGTTTTCATTATTCTGGTTAGAATCCTACTAGGTTGTTTGACGAAAAACTTAATTTCATCTTTAATCTTTTAGCTTTATAAATTCTCTTTGTTATAAATTCTTTTTTTTTCAACGACAGGTCAATATATTTAAAACTCAAAAACGATTAAAATCAGTTGGTTACTATGGTCAGCTATTGAATGGTTTAAAGTTACGTCAACAACGCCAAGCCAGATCCAAGTTATTCAATCACAATGATTCATCATCAGTCAATACAGTCGACGATAATGGGTGTTCAAAAAGCTATGACACAAATAATTTAAATTCACGTAAGTCCACTGATTCGTTTGTTAAAAAAGGGTTTTTTGTTTTAACCTGCATATCATTTTATTGTGTTCTTTTTTATCAAAGAGGTTATATTATCATATGTTATCAGACTTTGTTTACTGATATAATTGTAAATATTTCAGGTGTATGATACATGACTGACAACAGTCGATGATGTTCGCTAGATAAAATGGTTTGACTAAGCCAGGGAATTTACAAATCTGTATCACAATTCTTTTATTTCATTAATGCTCTTACCATGAGTTCTGAAGTCGTGGATTCAACTACTCTCTCGATCTTGAGTATGCATTAATTAAGCATCTTGAGTAAGCACCTTAGTACTAAAACAAAACAGTTCCTTATCTTTCTTCAGTCTTCTGTGGTTCAATGATAATTATTGATTTGTTCAATATTATATATTTGGTCGTAGAAAAGAATTCCAAATACAGGATACAATATACCATTGTAAATCTCACTTTAACACATACAGTTCATTTGTAACTATTCAAAAGACTAAAATTTAAAGCCTTGTGAAACAGTATTTATGTGATATGTATTTTCAACTGTGAGATTTTTTGATCATTTTCTCACTGGATAGTATGTTTGATGTATGACTTGCAATGTATATATTCTCCTCTCATTACTGCAAACAATTGACACCATGGAAATATGCCATTTATTATGGTATTTTGGCTTTTATTTTCTGTTATTTAACATATTAGTAGGCTGTTGGCTTTTAACAGAGTTCATTATGAGATTTACAAAAGTGATTACTTCATTAAAACAAATCTAATATGGGGAAAAACTACTACCATAGTTTCACAATTTATCATGAAGTAAATTTAGTTTCTGGTGTAAACTTTATTTATTTCCTTGTTTTGGGTAGTTTGCTTTTCTGTGGAATGTAGTATTTTACTAATATATTTATTTGTTTATATTTCAACCACGTTCAGTGTGAGGCAGTTAGTTGCTTACCAATGACGTCGGAAGATGGTTGCACAGTATCGTGAATTGATTAAAATTAAACTTGTGAACCATTGACTCCCGACTCAATGGTATAAAATTTAGACATCCACCACGATACATGAGGGTTTCGGTTCCAGTTTTTGGTGGCGTGGTCGTAGATATTTACTGCCAAAACTTCATACTATGGTTGTCTTACTAATATCAGTCCGTGATGTAAGCTATAAAATTATTCATTCATTCCTTTTCTCTTACCGATACTTTTTCGCCTATTGTCATTAAAATATTTTTTACATAATCCTCATTATTACATCCCTGTTAAACGCTTTTACTTCTAGGTTTTATCAACAATCATACATGAATGATGTAAAATTAGTTATCTTTTTTCTCTTTTGTGTATTTGCTCAAAATATGTAGCTTTACAGATATCAACTAGAAAACGACGGCGCCAACGACGTTTACTTCAGAAACAATTGAAAAAACAAATATTTACGAATGACTCTAGTAGTGTTGGTAATGACGATGATAATTGCAATATTTATGACAGCAGTGATCAAGACGTTTTTGAGCTCTCTGATTCACCTATCACTTTGGATGACCTAATTTCTGAACATTCTAATACACGTCAAGGAACATCGAGATTGTCTGTAATATCAAGTGAAAACATTAAGGAATCTTTACCGTACATTCCTCAACATTTACCACGTCCTACACCCATTGAATGGAGACGTCCTGACGAATATGTGTTTGTTAGTTTGCCAGAAAGTGTATTTTCTGAGGGACTTTATTCAAGTTAGTCACTTTGTCGAAACAATCCTAATATTGATGTTATTACACTTAATTTCTTTGCTCTCTATCATTAGTGTTTGATAATTATTAATTATACTATTATTATATTTCATTTCAGTTGACAAGGCTTAAATGAAATTGGCACATAGATTAAGTATTTCAAAGAGAGAGGCAATTCTTTAATATTGGATAATGCTAAATACCTATTTCGTTATTATTATTTATTTATTTATTTTAACACGTAGATGTTCCGTTACCATTTTCGAGGTTTTTAAAATAACAATTTTCGAAATTTTCCACTTCATTATTTCATTTGTATTCGTTATTTGTTCATTACTGTTTTGTTCTAGTGAATGATTTAGTATCTGTAGAATAACTCTTGAGAAAGTTGACATCTAATTAAAGTAGATGATAATGATTTTTTTAGAGTTGATTGACCAATGAATGGCGACCAATGTCATGTATGTCAGGTTCTTCTTTAGTGCTGATCGAATCCTATCGATCAACTCTCTTGCCTGTAATCTTGAAGGAACTCGTGCTCACTGACGGATTCTACTGATCAATTATGAGTACATCTCATTACTACAGGAGATCAGTCACGTCTCTGACTATGAACCTGGGTTTTACGAGATCATTATATATATATAATTTATATATATATATATATATATATTCACCACAGAATAATGTTATATCGGGTATAATTGAGAACCAGAGAGTACTGGACTAAGAACAGTCTCATAAATCAAATAATTCTCCACAGATCCGTTTCCGCTGTTGTATATAGTATTGATTTTACTTTTTTTAGTTGTCACTTGGCTAATCCAATTGATACAAGAGAAATGTAAAGCAACAAGTTTTTCTAATCAGCATACTGATGATCAAAATAATATTAGTAGTACACAAGATATGTATATTCAACGTTTACAATCTTGTTTGATTTATATGGATTTATGGAATAAAGGTTATTATATTAGTACATCCACTGTAAAAATGGGTGGTGATCTCCTGGTTTATCAAGGTGAGTAGTAAATTTTAGTCATCGATTCTGTTTCTTTTTCGACTTGTCTTTTGTGTTCATTCCTTTTTTTTCTTTCTCTTGTATCAAACACAAATGTTACATAAAATTCCTCTCATTAATTACGTTAATATAGTATGAAATATCTTTAGTTTATTTTTGTCGTGCAGTAAATATCTGATGCAATAGTGTAGTAATTATTAATTTTTTATAAGTTCAATTTCATAACTTTTCACTGGTGGGTTATTTGCCGTACTTTATAATGGTTGTTATACTCACTTCTATATAGTTTTTTATTTACATGAAATAATAATGTAATATTACACTGTTGTGGTGTGTGCTACTGATGTCGATAGATATACGTAGTATGTATCATCAATAGAAAGTGAAATGTCTGGTGGCATAAGGTTAAGAAGATCGAAGAATAGAGTACAAGAACATAGAATGATTGGTGTGTAATTGAAGGAACAATAAAGTCTGAGACGAATGATTGACATTTTGCAAATGAAGTATTTGTTGTATAGTTCTCAAATTTTACTAAGATATTATGTAGTTTTATGTTCAAATCGATTTGATTGTCCCCACTTGTGTTCTCGTTCACTACAGTATAATGCAGACCACAACTTCATAAAATGTACATATATTTTTTTCTTGATTCTTATTGATAACAATATAAAAGATGTTGTCCTTATTTTCATAAATAAATAATCAAATTTGCTTTAATTATCTAAATGAAATAAATCAGAAGTGAAGTGAATATTCATCTGTCGTAAGGCAATAGGTAGCATTAAACAATACATTCATCACTATATCTCATCTTTCTGAGTTATTGTGCTCTCTAGTAGTTAGTTTCAAAATGGATTTCTCAAATTTTTAATAATAAAATTGTAAAATCACTTATATTGCGGTGTGGTAATTGTTAAGACAGCTTTCGAGAACCACTATGGAGCCTCCAACGACTTTAAAGGAGCTGAAGAGTTTCCACTTAATCAGAACCTGATGGGGTTTTTCGGAATATCAACGTTACATGCTACGATTGAACACTAGCCTAATTTGCCTTCTTGAGGATTGGCTGCATTTTAAAGATGTCATAGCCAACGCTAATAACTATAAATACCCATGCTTTTCTGAACATTTTCGATTCTTACCCAATAATCACTTCTCCTGCTTCGTCTGTCCTCTAATATTCGTTCGAGTGCCGTTAGTTTTATATCGTATTCTGCGTTAATCGCAATCAGTATGAATTTTATTTTTATCTTCTGTATATCAAATAAGTAATCATTTTGCCACAGAACTTTTTGATCGTCCTCCATCTCATAATAAGGATATTATAAAGACAGCCGAGTACTTTATATCATTATTGGACTCAGGACTGCATGATTATATACATACCACATACATCCTTAAGGTTTCATAAATAATAAATCACATTCTGTACATAATTTGGACCTTTTTAGCACGGACTTTGACAATAATTTCTAAACGGAGAAAAATATGACAATGGTGAATAAGTCGAACGGCCGCTTGAATTTGGGACAATATCATAGATGATTTGTCTGATAAATGCACACCAATAATTTTCATACTAATTCATGGTAGGATAGTTTTCAAAGTTTCTCTATTTTCATTTATTTGCCCACTTATAACAGTAATAACTCACCACTGATATCAGAGCATAACACACTTTATCACTACATGACCAAATTTATTAAAAACTATGGATTATGTTCCCGTACTCTAAAGAAAACAATTGTCCAACACCATTTAGTTTCGAACAGTTTTGTAACCTTTATTTACTGTATCAACATAGTCAAATTATCATAAATATTCACTACCTTTCTAAGTTTAATCCTCAGGTAATAAAAAGCTCATTTACACGTAAATTGATTGGTACATTATGAATTAATGTGAATATTATATACTTATATCACAAGTATGCTCATCTAAATGCATCTTCAGTATAAATTAAACTGTTCAATTTAATAATGATATTATGGTCTTTATTAAATAAAAAAAATTGGAGAGTTTTTCGAGCTATATATGTTTTCACTATTATACTCAAAAAGTATGTTCTACTTTACAGTTTTCCTTTTTTTCTTTCACATTTTGTTTCTTAGGTGATCCACTTTTGTATCATGGTAGTCATATTATTACAATTTGTAATCCAACAGATCCATTTTGCAATTCACAATTATTAGCTAAACTACGTATTGCGAATGGTTTGAAAAAAATACTTGTTCTAGCTACAGTTAGTAATATTGAAATGTTTACTAGAAAATTTACATTTCAAAGAATAAAACATTGTGAAATTAAGAATGATAATGACAATGATGATAATGATGGTAGTGTTGTAGATCCCCGAGTTATTGTTAGTGAACACTCGAAATTATCTGTACAATCAGAAGAAATTACGTCCAATGAAAGTACCCATAGTAATTGTAATAGTAGCACTAATAAAATACAGCCTAATGTAATTTACTTATCCCTTCAGTATATGTCTTCACACTCTAGTAATCCAACATTTTCAAAATCATTATGATGTATAATAAAAATTGTTTTTTCCCTTTCTATTGTTCAGTATATTTTTGTAAATGAGAATGATTAAAGGAAGACAAATACATATTTTCGTAAAATTTTCTGTTCTTTTAATTTGTTTTTTTTTGTGTCATGCTTGGATGATATTTCAATTTGTGCTTCATGTATTTAGAATATCTAGTTGAATACTCTCAAAAACGTACATTCAGAAAATTATATCTATCTGTAATTGCATTGTGATTGTAGTTCGATGTTACTTATTTACCAAGTTCTTGTTGATGTATTTGGCTTTTAAGGATACATTTTGTGGAGGCTAGTGGTTCTACTTGCCGATGGTCCAAACCGAAGTAGATGAAATGGATCTGCCAGTTGAAGACTGAGTGCTGCAGTCGCTAAACTACCACTTTAATACACGGTAATTACAATCGTCCATAAAATATGTTTGATATAGGATGACTAACTATATTGAAAACTAATAAGAAACTTCCTATTCACAAGCTGTTAATAATCGATCACAAATGTGTCGGAAACAGCTCACGTATGTCGGGACCAGAAAGTGAGTAGTCCTGAGGTTGGAGTGGGGTTATAGTTCCCAATAAACATAGTAATTTGTCTGATGAGATTGTGAAATTTTATCGACTGAGTTTAGGGAAATATATGTAGTGCATACCTGGTCAAAAGCTATTCTGACTTGCTGTTCTGGTGAGCATATGTTTGGTTTTGAGGAATGCTAGAATGGGACATCACATCAAATCAACAACTACAGAACTGATCCTTGTTGGAAACTATAAGTTCATTATAGTCATAATCTGTTGTTGGATACCATTGGATGACCTATCTCCGATATATATATACACATATATATATACGCGAAAAATTACTTCCTAAAATATTCATTTTCCCATTTATTTAGAACATTTTATTATTCATGGTTTCAGATTACTTGCGTTGCGTGATGTTTTTTTCAACCATTGTTTATCCCGAAATGTAGTGTTGTGTAGATGACAACTAGTAATCAGGAAATCAACAAACCTAGTCAGTTCATGAAGTCATTAACTGTTGGTTCGACTCTTATGAAGATGTTCTGACTACAGACCTAGTTTTGTTCCGTGAGATAATTGTGACCAACGATCGAAAGCATTAGATGAGGCGGCATGAGTTAATTAAAATGGCGTAGATTCATCCTGTATTATCCCGTTTTTCTATATTCTCTACACGTACTCTTCTATAATATCCTGTATACTACTACTATTCGAAATTGTTTGCTATTCACTCGGTTTTTTTTCTATTTGTACTTATATAGCATAGCAGCTTGAGTGGATACACCTTTAAACCAGGTCCTACTTCGATTATGACTGGCTGATGTATCTGGTTATAAATTTTTGTCACATTGAACATAATACTTTATTATTCAACCACAACCAAGTACAAAAAATTGTAACCATCCGGCCAAAAATATAGCTTAGATAACATGAAGATAGATTAGTAGAGTCAGCCAATGCACGTTTTAAAATACTGAGAAAACAGACAACAGATGTTATACTTTAAGTTTTGTGTAGCTAGTTGAGTTTACGCACAAGTCAATTAATTCCCGTTAATCTAGTTGATTAATGTATGTATTAAGCTAGTTATGTGGTTACTCTCACCCTCATGTTTTATAATTTCCAAAACGCTAATAGAATTTAATTAATTAAGTCACACACAGTATGAAACGCACGTCCTGGATTCTACTGCCGGCCCCTATCTTACTCTGTCTAAAATGAATTGATTTTAGTTGCAAATGTAAATCTCAGAACCTGTCTCGTTGATCACTCACTCGTTGAAACGTCTAAGGGTTTTATAGTTGGTCTCTGTTAGGTTTATGAGTACCACCTGGTGATTATGGTAATCTCAATCTAAAACATGACGTTTGCCTGTCGCTCCCTGCTTTTCAATGGTATCACGATGGATGTTAACCTATTGTAAAAGCTGTCTTACGAATCTTTTTCTAACTATCATTTAATGTTATTTCACTCAAACTATGAAATATATTATGAAATTAATAAATTTTCTTTTGTCTGTAAATAGTTTTGGCATATATACCTTTATTCTCTAGGTTTTAAGTCCTTTTGCTCAAATGAAAATACTTTCTTATCACTAGTTGGAGAAAAATGGATGAACAAGAAGAAACTTGGTATATGGATGACTATGAAGAAGAACTACTTGAGGAGATAGACGAGGAAGAAGGAGACAATGATCTGTCGGGAAATTATTTAGATAATCTAGAAACTATTGAAGGGGATGATGATTATGAAGATGTTTTATTCGAGAATGCATTATCCATAAAGTCTATATCGTCAGAAATATTATCATGCACTACACCAGTTTTGAAACAAGCCTATTGGTTACTGATTTTGATATTTGTTTCATGTCTTCTATGGCGTATCGTACAATTTGTACTGAACAAATGTTTCCCTTCAAATGGTATGTGTGATTTATATATTTATTTATAATAAATTTGCGAATTCGGATTTCAGTGTCCTGAGATCTGACTACAGTTCGATCGTATGATTATCGTTATCGACTTATATATGTCCCCAATCCTCGTATATAATCATCGACTTAAATCGCGTTAGTGGATAACGAAATTGAATAATAGCAATCCGAGAATGGATTTTAAATACGTCTATTTTGTACAATCGTTGGTCGAAAAGAGAAGCAAAACAAAATGACGTGCGTTGGTGAAAGCGAATGAGCCAACTCGATTTAATCAAGAGTGACTCGACATTTATAGTCAGACGAAAATAAGTTACAGAAATGTGATGAGTAAGATAAGAAATGCACACACATACGCTTACATAAAAACAGTCAAGGTTGACAAGCGAGTAATTGACAAGGTCAAAATGTGATTCAAAAGAATGAATAAACTGGTCTGTCAGTTTGTGCAGATGCTGTCGTTCAGAAAAACTATGAAAGCTTCTCGACCAAACCATCCAGCTCAGAGAACAAAACTCCACCGAAAGCTAGAATAAGCTGTGTAGGCTTAACATAGCAACCGATATTACAAGCTTAGTGACTCAGTATATATTATTATGATTAGCATTAGAAAAATGTTTTTTTCAAGAATTTCATATAACGTAGTCATTTAAAAACTTTTAAGTAGGGCACAAATTACAAGATCGATTAAAATGAATAAATTTTAAGGCTTCTCATTCAGTTTCAAGCAGTTTAACGTTATCAAAAGTTATGTGATCAGAAACAAAGGTTTGCTGTAATTTAATTAGTGAAGTTGAAATAAGTATTAAGTATGTAATCGAAAGTCATAATATGTGGAAGTAGACAAGCATATAACAGTAAACTTAACTAAGATTGATATTTACTTATAATGTTGATAAAAACCAATAAAAATTATAGTGTTATATCTTATTATTATTATTACTACCACTTTTGAGCCGTATCGCCCAACTTTTTCAACTAGTGATCATAGTTATCACGCGGAACTCAACTGTACTTTGACTATCATTGTTGATAACTCTGTATTTTTTGTATATTACTATTGTGTATTTTTTATATAGGGAAAATTTGCCGCACATTTGTCACAATAATCCTCCATATCTTTTCCATTTGTCTTGGTAAGTACTTCCTTTATCGATCCTATTGAGAGTTTACATTTAAACATTACATACTTTAAATAATCTTCAAGTTATTAGTAATTGTTATTTTGAAATGTTTACATTTTCTATATTTTCTGAACATTTTTTTCAGATGTTATGTACTGTTTTACATCCTCTTATGTATTATATCATTTATCCATGTTATTAACTAAGCGAAAAATACAGTATATAGTAGTGTATTTTATGACATAGTCTTCTGTTGCAAGTTCAAAAATTTCCAGCAACTCACACTAACTGAGGTTTGTATTGAATAAAGAAAACTACTTAGTTAACTTACCTCACTCTCCTGATTTTTGTCCGAATTGAAACTTTAAAAAAAACTGTGAACTACTCTAAAAGTTAACGATCGGAGTATGGTCAAAGCTCGTAAAGCACTTAGAACTTTCAACCAGTTGATTCAAGGGTTAATAATTTGGAAGTCATTTGTTATAATCACTCTGTCCTACAGGTTTTCTGTCAATTTCTAGCTTTAATTACCAATCGTAAGTAGACCTTTTGGTTACTGTTTTCCAATAATTAATTTTATCTTAAGATAAAACTCTTTTATATTCAGCATTATATCATTCTTTTTTTGAGAAAAATTCCATAAATCATTCAGTCATATTATTAGACAGTGATACATAACTTGCATACTTCGTGTTGGAGCGTTAGCCTAATAATAAAGAAAGTATAAATTGAAACTCGGCTCTACTTTCTACAATCATACAAACATATTAAATCATACGAAGCTAAAACCGATGTTTAATAAACATTTACATTATAAATGAGAATTACATTACAAATAAACTATCTATAACTCATTTGTTAATAATAAATAATATCTACTCTTAAAACTGTTTATAATTTCTAAAAGATATTGTAGGTAATCCTTTTGACCAATTTGAATGATCCAATCAGAAAATGAAATTGATAAAACCATATAATATTATTACCACATTGTCTGTTGAACAATTTCCATTACATATTAACTTTGCAATACATTTATACATGAGAGACAAATTACAGCATAAAACGTAAATAATAAGGGGAAAAATAGTGTAAACTATACCGTTCTATGTATTAAAATAGTAGTGTCTGAGTACATTTAATGTGTGTACAGATTATTTTTGAACAAACAAGAGGATAGCTTGAACTTTCATTTAGCCAAGGTTTCATTAAACTTCAATATTCTCCCTAAGTAACTGATAAGCAAAACCGAAAAGTTGAATTAAAATCATTTGTATAACCTATTTCAATTATGCGTTTGACAATGAATAAAGGAGGGTGTTTGTCATTTTCTCTTATTGATCTATTTGACTTCCTTTGTTTTTTGTTATCATTTCAGTACATTTTTAATAGCCTGTAACTTACAGATCACATTTGCTTCTTCCAAAACAGGTGTAAGTAAGTAAGTAATATTTGGTAAACACAGAGATATGATGCAATCGTGTACACGCATCTGATAAACTTCTCATTTCATTATTTAAATTTATCTAGTTTTTAGTGATAGGATTCTGAATAATTTCAGAGCTAATATAAAATTTTTATTTTATTTCATTTGATTAGGTTTATTAGTTTTATATTATGCTTCATATGATCTGTGGTGGATTGTTATTGGCCTTATAATTACCTTAACACTATTATTTACCTTAAATATTAACTCTGATATTTCTAATTCATATGGGAAATATGCTAATTGGGAATTATTTGTAACAATTGGAATTTGTTCATCTGTTCAGTTATACTGGTAATTAATTAAAATTGTTGCTTGTTTATTCCTCTATCTTTATGATAATTGATATACTACGTTTGATTATTAAATTTGACTATCTTTGTAGTTTGTGACTACATCTTTTCCAATATTAGATTCGTTACCATTGATGCTTTTTCGAAAAGCTAGTAATTAGTGTAGACTTCCGAATTTTGTAGTTTACATCGTATATTGACCTTGTTTGAGCAACCATTCAAATATAAGGGAAAAACTGGACAGTGGTTTTGTCTTTGTATGGGACTCCTCAACAGTGTGCATCTGAGACCCATCGGGAATCAAAATGAGGACCTTCCGGTCTGAAAATATTTAAGCATGTAATATAGTACTTATGGATAAGATTCAAGCTGATTAATTGTTCCCTCTAAATATGGCAATTTGTACAAGTTCTGACGAGCTAATTTAATTTGTTATAGTTTGAAACCCTCATTTATAACAGCTGATAAGTCCAATTCTTCAATTTTCGAATTCTAGCCACTTCGTGGGGGAGGAGAAAGCCAGAAAATTTAAAGTCAGGGTCTAAACTTGAAGTCTCCAAAAAAGGGGAGGTGTTATGATGGGATAAAAGGTCAAAATTAAATTGATTTTTATTCAACATTAATTCCGTTTAATTCAATTTGATGATCATTCAGTATAGTATTTGTTGCATTCACAGACTACGTGAACTCGTAATTGCTTCAAACATAACAATTTGATTGATTATATCTGTTACCAGTTAATGTAGCAAGTATGTAATTCTACTTGTGAATTGATTTATCACTAATTATTCCGTGGTCTTCACTTAGTCTTTCGGGATTAAGTTATATTTGCGGTTCATAGATGAAGAATTTAAAGTATTGTGATACCTAGTGATGATTATAATTTGAAGTAGTTTTCACCGCAAAATAATATAAGTGAAAGATTTTACTATATCTAGACTTGAGTTTTTGCTATACCACGTACGACTTGAGCACTTGAACGCTTAAACCCCCGAAGTCTCAAGTTAGAAGACAGAAGACGAATGAAAATGTATCTTTATCCAGCCGGTATGAAATATGATACAGAACACTCGGGTATTTTTATTTTTTAGTAAAAACAAAATCATCATTACAATCATCCAATCCATAGGCAGTGGTGTTTAGCAATTGTCCAATCGGGAAGCTACGCGCCAAGATTCTGGGATCTTCTTCAAACGATTATTGTATGGAATGTCTTTAGATTTTTCAGAGCTTTCTTGAGTCCACCAAGAGCCGTCCCCACATAATTACTCTGAACTACGTAGATTATTAGGGGACCGTTTAATCGCTCTTTGCGAGTCTTTAATATTGTTCACCTAGAATGTATCACATGACCGAATCAAATACCTTTACATCAATTAATACTTCGAGTCGGTATATTATTGCTTAAATTATTGACTGTAGTCAAGTTCTAGTATCAATCTTCATCCCACAGAGCATATGATTTTACACTTTCTATGTTACCTAAATACACTCGTGGCTCTGATTCTTAGTATGATTTTAAATGGTCACTGTTTAAGAGTCTGGAGATATTAGGTCGCTTTTGGTTATCAAAGATTCTTCAACTGATATTAGCCCATAAAGTAAAACATTTTATATCTTAAATGTCTCAACGCAATTACATCTGTATATGCTTGTTACATACTTCATATCTTACAATTAGGAATAAAGTTAATGACATTATCAAGAGTATAGATTACATTTAAATGTATTTTGATTTTCGTTTCTTAGGGATTTTGTTTTTAACAAAACAAAAATCAATTTTCCCTTGATCATTTGATTTCATCATTCATGTCTTCCGGCCCGTCTTCTTAACCACGTTTATATATTTTTTTTATTTAGCGAGTTTAACAAAAATCCTGTTAAATGGCATCAAATTCGTGGTATGTTATCTAATTTCATGTTGACTTGATGAATTCTGTTACATTTTTTATTATTAGTTAATGCTTGGTCAGATGTCTTTAGCATTTTGTTGATTGTATTATATTCTATGGACTAGATTATTCAACTGTAAATCTTTTGTTATTAATCTGATCAACATCATTAGTAGCTGTTTTACATTAAAATGAACATAAGTAGTACCAGATCATTCTGTTTTTTATGACTATTATTTATTGTTTAACCTCTTAAAAGCTTGTTATCTGCAAACTACCTTTACCAAAAACCAACCGATGTCCTATTTCATCGCTTGTTACTTACTTACTTACACCTGTTACTCCTAATGGAGCATAGGCCGCCGACCAGCATTCTCCAACCCACTCTGTCCTGGGCCTTCTTTTCTAGTTCCATCCAATTCTTGTTCATTTTTCTCATGTCTGTTTCCATTTCCCGGCGTAATGTGTTCTTTAGTCTTCCTTTTTTCCTTTGGCCTTGAAGATTCCATATGGGGGCTTGTCTTGTGACGCAGTTGGGTGCTTTCCTCAATGCGTGTCCTATCCACTTCCACCGCTTCTTCCTAATTTCTTCCTCCGCTGTGATCTGGTTTGTTCTCTCCCACAGTTGGTTGTTGCTAATAGTGTCTGGCCAACGGATCCGAAGTATTTTGCGTAGACAACTGTTAATAAACACCTGAATCTTCTGGATGATGGCTTTCGTAGTTCTCCAGGTTTCTGCCCCATACAGTAGAACTGTCTTGACATTTGTATTGAAAATCCTGACCTTGGTGTTGGTTGACAGTTGTTTTGAGTTCCAGATGTTCCTCAGTTGTAAATATGCTGTTCTTGCTTTGCCGATTCGCACCTTCACATCTGCATCAGATCCACCGTGTTCATCAATGATGCTGCCCAGATATGTAAAGGTTCTTACATCTTCCAAATCTTTTCCGTCAATTGTGACTGGTTTGGTGCATGCTGTGTTGTATTGGAGAATTTCGCTTTTCCCTTTGTGTATATTGAGACCTACTGCTGCTGAAGCTGCTGCTACACTGGTTCACATATCAACAATTAGTTTAAATTCAATAATTTTTATGCTTCGAACTTCATTTAATTTTCAGCATAGCTCACCTATCATCATACATTCGCAGGATTTTCGAATTTTATTGATCAGAGCTTCTCATCAGAATTCTACAAATCTTCCTCGTCATCAATCACAAATAAGCCCATATTCTCCATTAATATGGAGATCTATGAAGATTATTTGATGCGATGTTAATTTTCGTCAAGATATCTAAGTTTTTATCAATCATAAGTCTCTTTAAAAAGTTTAAACAGGAATAATTTCTGTTTTACCAAACATTGTATTTAAAAATATCATCTAACTTAATCTGTTGTTACATTCAGAACTAATGATACTTTATATTTGTCTCTTAATAATTTACTACTAATTTTTTATACTACTCTCTTGTGACTTTTTGGTTTATAGGTAGTATTATGATAATTATTATGAAATGTATATCTTTTTCTATGGAAAATAAAAAATTTTATAAAATGATCAATAAAGAGCCTTGCTGCATACTACTGTGGACACCATTATATCGTGGATTACTTTGGTTATCTTATTGTCTGTGTCCAGCTAGTTTATTGTTTGGTCCATGGTTTAATCCATTAAGATATGAAGAAATGGTTAGAAACTATGCTGTTATTGATAGACCTTTTTCTTTAAAAAATGTAAGTTATAAACAATTGAATATCAAGATGATTGGGCCTTGAATGTGGCTGATCGTTACATTGTGAAATGTGCGGATTTAAGACTTGTTGAAATACTTTGTGCTTCAATCTATTAACCTTAGTTCATAGTTAAAGTACATCAGTAATTAAAGAGAGATTTCTGAATTGAGATTTAAGTTCTATTCTTGAGTATGATGTGAAAACACGATGATTGTTATTTTTTAGCACTAAACATGTCTCTATTTGTAATGAATTTGTTGATTCCCGTTGTTTTTAAATATGTTTGACTAATAATATTTTTCAGTTTATATATTTCTATTTGATATTCCAGTAGATATGACGTGAACTGTTTAATTAAACTGATATTTTATAAATTTATATTAAAAGTAAGATATACGTGAATACATTCAGAATTAGATCGTTTCTGGAGATAATTGTCATCTACAACCAATATTGGTTGGGAAAACCATAGAGAGATAACCAGTTATTTCATTTTAGCTTTGAAGATTTCTTAAGTAGTAACTACGAGATTAACAAATACATGATAGACTGGTTTGTAGTCAGTTAGTTAGTGATAATCAACTTACAGCCTGGGATATATATGCGTTCATCCAAGTTACCATACAACATTAACGGGCGAAAATGAATATCAAAAGATTTCTAAATAATATATATATACTTAGGAACAAGCATTAAGAATAGGGTTCTAAAAGACAGTGGAAAAGTATGTACTAAGGAATATTTGAACTCAGTATCTAGAAGATAAAGAATAAATACATCTGCTCTATTGTAACGTCTTCAACCACTGATCTCAGCTATTATACGGATCTCAGTCAGGCAGTCTGAATTTAGGGGAATTTCTTAGGCTAATAGTTAGTGGCTTCATGTATTAATGCCACGTTTTTGGCTTATCTGCTCCTTGCTTGCTTTGATATCAGTCTGTAAGGAACTAAATATTCATTGCGTAAGCTTCATATATCTCATAATCTTAGTAATGGTTGCGTGTATTCAGTAGTAACTAAAATTGAAGTGAATTCTTAAAAATTTAAATGTGAAACAGTAATTAATTAAATTACTTGATTACATAATTAAATTAAGTATTGTCGATAGGAATTATAGAAATCATCTCAGCATATCATAAACTAACGTTAAAAATGTGAACTGTTAAATTTCCAACTCAGAGGTTTAAATGCATCAAGGTCACGTTAAATAGTTATAAGTAGTTGACAAACCACCCGTATTACTTGGCATTCGTCAACTATACTTACCTTTATTCCTACAACACACTCATCCTTCATGGCTTCAGTGTGCTTGATTCAACCCACTATTTGATATATGTATAGTTGTGGATCAAGAGTGTAGAAAGGTATCAATACTCTTTGGTTTTCGATGACTCTTTGATTGAAATATCAGTTCGTACTGAAATCTCGTTATCTTAATTATTTTATTCAGTAACTTTTATATTTTATCATGAAATATAATTCTTACATATCTAAGGTCGCAATGTTGCTAATTGCTAAGGAAATATAACAAAATTTAACTTGATTTGTAACATATCATAAAATAGATTTTTCTAAACCTTTTATTCGACTAACAATGGTATACGGTGACGCGATTTCGTGGATTGGTTGAAGTTAGACATTAACACCGTTGGATGCCGGCTAGTTCAGTGGTCTAATAGTTAAGCTCTCGCGCGCGAGACTGGTAGATCCTGGGTCCGAATCTCGCGGCGACGGGACCGTGGATGCGCACTGTTGAGGAATCCCATACTAGGACGAAACGGCCGTCTAGTGCTTCTAGGTTTTCCATGGTGGTCTAGCTTCAGTTGACTCATGATTTCAACTAGTGAAATAACAATACATTCATCAAAATATGATTATTTTCGTTTATGTAACTTTGGGTCACAAAACATAACACCTTTTTTGTACTTTATGTTACTACTCTACAAAGTAACATTGAAAAATCTTTGCTTATAAAAGAAAAGTAACACTTACAACTGGATTCTACTTGAAATACCATTTCATTTTGATTATAATCGTTTTTTGATCTGTGCAAAAGAAAACATGCTTTTATTCAAATTTTCCTTTTAAAATATTCGTCGTTGTTCTTATTGTTATTGTTCTCTTTTTCTGACAGACTATAATTTCACTTTTTCATACAGTTAAATTATTTGGGCTATCTTTGTTATATTTAACTTATTCGACTTGTTTCTCTCATACACTGGCTTTGATATTGAAATTTCAACCGTAAGTTTATGATTTCTAATCTTTTGGGTGTGGATTTTTTTTTAAAAAATGGTCAATACACAGATATGGTTGTACCGTGTATTCGGTTTTCTTTTTCAAATAAGTGGTCTAATTGTTAGGTCAGTGAACTCGTAAGTATTTGGTAGCGGGTTCGAACTCAACCCTCGCCTTTGAGCATACGGATAGCATAACTACTTATCCTTACATTAAAGTGTAACTTATCACTGACTTAACTTTAGATTGCTACGTTTGAATCAGTAATAATGATTCTTCGACTAAATGTTCTGATATGCTTGAAGGTTGGCACAGGTATTCAGTGTTTGACAACGCTTCTACCAGTAACACCTTCTAATATAATTCGTAACCACCCAGAGAAATCAAAAGACAGAGTCGAGGAGATCGGAAGAGTGTATTTGGCGATAACCAATATATCGGAATTCTCTGATCTAATCTGGCTAGTGATTGCGGTAGATGTTGAGCACGGTGTTACCACACGTGATCTGGTGCGGATGCCTGACCGAGCGCCTTCAGCTAGATGAGTCCACCAAAACATATGGTCAGCATCCAATGTCGAAAACTTACAGAGCTATTTATTTTGGGGATTTATTTACCGCTACATGCTAAAGGTTATTAACTTGTACAAAATACCTGTCCTGAAGACCAAATTAGAACTCGAGAATAACAGCTAATGTAACCCGTATATCTCTGACTGGAAAACTCATGGATTACAGGACCATGATGCATCATAAACAAGAGATTGTAACATGTACCTAACTTGGACAAAAACGGCGATGATGATGTTTAGTAATAACTCATGTTAATTTGGGAACAGAAAAAGATTTAACAACAGTTAGTAGGCCAAATGGAAGCATACGAATATGAACACATAAAATTCACTCAACTAAAGCCCTTAATAACTACATTTTATACATAAAAATACTAATCTACCCAGAAAAAATTACTTCTAACGTTTGTCATTTTCATTTATTCATCTCGTTTTAACCATTACTAACTACTTAAACTGTCAATGTTTGGTCAGTTATTTACATTTAATGGGAAGTGTTCAGTATTATTATGAATCTCCTTAAGATTGTTTATACACAAACTAATATCTGATTAAACTGTATATGTTTACTTACCTTCAGAATAATTTAACTTACTGTTATTATTGAAGTTTTGTTTTATTGTCAAAATTTTCCTTGTTTGATAATAAAGCCATACTTTGTGCAAATAGAATTGTTCATTAAAATCATATCTTTTTCTTCATTATTTTTTCCTTTTAGTTGGCTTCATGCTTATTTTGCATCACAAAGTTTCCGTTTCAGTCATTATTTCGTATGTATATCAAGTGAATCTTCCATGACAGCTTTAGGATATTATGATAAATATTCAATAAAATCAAACAAACAAGAAAATACTGAGGAGAAAGACAATTCAAAAGTTGTATACAAGTAAGTTTAATGTTTGTTTTCTTTAATCGATAATCAATTCATTGACATATTGTTTCTTTGTTTTTAATATTTATCTGGTCTATTGAACACCTTAAAATTGTGATGGGACAAAAATTTGCATGAAACGTTGAATTATCTCATCTATCGTTATCAATAATAAATTGTTTCGTAATCCATGTTATTAATACAGTCTCCAAAATCATTCATAAGGTTCTCATTAATAGACTGATATTTGAAGGAAGAATATTCTATTCGATAAATTCTCTTCAGGTTCTACAGTTATATAACCAAATTAATAATCCGAAAAATGGACAGATTAAGAGCAAAGTACATCGTTTAAAACATGTCAACTTAGGATTGTGTTAAACAAAATACAATAAAATTGTTAATGTTTATATGACTCATATAGATATGTTAACTTAAATCTGCGTATATGTTAAGTGAAATTTTGAGATCCATGATCAGAATAAATATGGGTCAAATAGGGTGAAAGAGTTACTTTTTTAGTATCGGTTTGTGAATACTATTTTTTTAAATAAATACGACTTAGAAACTAACTAATACACAGCTTGTTACTTATTATGGATTTACTTCTCAGCATTATATCTTTCTTTACCGATTATAAACTGTGATCTGTAGAGGAAACCGAATTTCGAATCATCAATTATAACACGGTATAAGTATATAACTGAGGTTTATAAATACCGATCATTAACTACTGATATAGTAATGAGTCGCTTACTAGGTTGTGAAGTTTACTGTCCTATCTCAGAATGCACACTGATAAAAATCTTGAGATCGACATGAAGAAAACGATAAATCTTGCTCAGTTTCCAACTAGTTTAACCGGATATTCAAACTAGTTATGTCTTGTAAAGTCTTAAATTGAATGTTACTCACTAGTCGATTATACTTTATTTGTATAATCTCTCCTACTTAAAAAGGTTAATCATACACTTCCTGTGTGTAATAAATCTACGCTATGGCAACATAATAATTGTTTAATTCCTTAAAATTCTGTTTATTAGGTTACACAAACCAACATGTTCCGTCGCGAATGAAATACTAGTCGAATTAAATATAAAATGATCCTTAATTTATAAGGTTCTATACAACTTTTATTATAAAATAATATCTAATCAGATAAGTACAAGTTCGTTGCATTTTCACTCTTTCATCTTTTTACCAGACCTATTGTGGTAACTCGTCCATTGTTCATTGAATTTCCTCGATCGTTAGTGGAAGTTGTTATTTACTGGAATTTGCCAATGCATACTTGGTTAAAACAATGTAAGCCATGATTATTTAATCTTTTATTTGATAATGAAATATTTTTATTTTAAACTATGAAATAACATGTAATGTTTTGACTAGTGTCTAATAGTGTTCTTCAGGATGTGCATTTTATTGAATTCAAGTGTTAATTAGAACGTATGGTCATTTTGTAAACATAACGTAGTACTAGTAAGTTAACTACAACAATAAAGCATTTCAGACTAATTGCTACACTCAAATGTCTTATGTATCTGCATGTTTACATTTCATACTAAGTGGAAAATACAGACACCTTTGATAGTTTGTAGATAAATTAATGTGTTTAAATTTACCTGTTTCAAACAAAAACAATACTTACTTACGCCTGTTCCCTTGTGGATGAGCATAGGCCGCCCATCAGCATCCTTCATCGAACTCTGTTCCTCTCTAGTTGCTGCTCATCCTTTTGATGTCTGCTTCCGATTCTCGACAAAATGTTCTCATCAATCTTCCACTTTACTGTTTCCCTTCAAGATTCCAAGTTAGCACTTACCTCGTGATGCAGTTTGATGATTTCCTTAATGTGTGTCTTATCCACTTTCAGCGTCTTCTACTAATTCTCTCTTCACTCGGAATCTGGTTTGTTCTTTCCCACAGTGGGCTGTTGCTGATGGCATCTGGCCAACGGACATTACGTATCTTGAGTAGACAACTGTTTATAAATACTTGTGTCTTTTTGATGAGGATTGTGGTAGTGCTTCAAGTTTCATCTCCATACAATAGAACAAACTGTCTTGACGTTCGTATTGAAGATTCTGACTTTGATGTTAGTTGACAGTTGTTTTGAGTTCCATACGTAATTCAACTATAGGAATGCTGTCATTGTATTGTCAATCCTTACCTTTGCGTTTGCATCAGATCCTTCACGTTCATCGATGGTACTGCCCAGATATGTGAAAGTCTCCATCTCTTTCAGAGTTTCTCCTCCAAGTGTGATTGTTTTGGTGTTCTCCATGTTTTATTTCAGGATCTAAAACAATACTTTTAGCTTAACTAGTTGCTTCATCATAAAATTCGTGATATTAAAAACCACACATAGCTCCTCGTGACTTTCCTCCCATATATATATATATATATATATATATATATATATATATCCATCAGTTTTTGTCTATTCTTTCATCAGTCTTTCATGTAAATTGGCGATCTTTGTCAGTACAAGTTACCATGTCTGCTCTATTCGTTGTCTTGTCAACAAAATTAACTACTGAATTTAGTTCAGAAAAAAATAATTGAGAATCAATTGTTTCACTGTGTATACAGACAGCACAAAAGACCACTTTTAGCCATCATATTTCTATTCATGCAACAACAGAGTATAGTAAGAGGAGGGTTATGGAAACACCAAAATCTGGTATCATTATGTATAATCATTAAGTTGTTTTTCGGTTCAAATACTGTTAGACGACAAACTTCAGTAATATGAAGTACTGAACAGCTCTATTTTGTCATAATTTGAGATGCCTCAATATTGTACACCAACCAACCCATAGGGAATCTAAGGTATGATTTCCAAGTTTTACATTGTATGTGATATCTTTGACCTGCTAAAGTGAAACGCAGAAATCCATATTTTCAAACTTAAACAATTCGTGTTTTAACAAGAGACTTCTTATCCAATCTAATCATTATCCAAAATGTTAGCTAACCTATTTCAAAATAAAGTTGTTTAGTGAACAATAAGTTTTGTTTATTTTGACAATCAAATGTCTTACAATAACTACATTTAACTGAAGGGATTTTGTTGAGATCGGTTGAGTTTGTAGATTCCATTCGTCACAGATTCCTCCCAGTTGAGATACCATTGAAAACAACAGAGCATTGGATGCCTGTTTTGTTCTAGTATGGGACCACTCTGTAGTGCACATCCACGAACCTATTAAGAACTGAACCTAAGAACTTCAAGTCTCAGTACGAATACTTACCGAGTTGCCGCACTATTGAGGACTTCTACACTAGGATAAAATAGCTGTTCAATGTTTAGTAGTTTGCTGTGGAACTTTAAATAAGGTATCTTTGGCGAATACATCCTACAGATAAATACGTTTGTTTGAGCTATATCATTTTTTAAAAAATGATTTCTTTAATAATCTGATTGCTAGGATTTTTCCTTCTAATTAGATGTATACAAGCCGTTACGTCCATATGGACATGTGTATGCTATATTGGGAACCTATACAGCTAGTTCATTATTACATGTAAGATGATAAATTTTGTTGTTTTCTGTATAAATATTTATTAATTCGACCTATCCTTCAAAATAAGAAGTGGAGATCAACTGCTTGATGGAAATTTACCATAACAGAATTGCAAAATGTTTATAGGTCTGATCCTTTATCAGGTTTTAACAAGACAATATCAGAGTTTGATCGTAGTTCTTTTAATGATTTAAAATGCTGAGAAGTTAATATGCTTTTCTAGCTTTGATTATTTAAAGACGTAGGGGTTAGAGTACTCAGTTGATCATATAGATTTTCAAATTGGGCATTTATTTCCAATTCAGACATTTGCGTTATAGGGACCGAGAAATTAAAACCAAGAGAAAGTGCTTCCTTTTCATTAGCAGATAATACAATGGAAGATAAATTAGTGACATACTTTTCAGGATTTACTGGGAATAAATTAACTTGATTAGTAATAATACAAGATTTTTCGAGCTTTTTACTGATCCTTTCCTTTGTTTTCAAAATGACATTACTACAAAAGTTGGTGAATTTAATATGGCAGACTATAGATATTTCATTTAATATAGGCAATGCTTGAGTGTGTAATTCAATTAAATTGATCAGTTTATCCTGGCAAGTATCTATATATGATTTCGACAGTCGAATGAGATTTGAAATATTTGGTTGTAATTTACTTTAACGTAAATTCTTGTATAGTTGATTTGGGAATATGTGACTCGACAAACAAGATTTATGTTCATGGCACCCGTTGAAAATCAGACTGTTGAACTAATCGGAAACATGTCACTTTATAAGAGATATGTGGACGATATCTTAGTTGTTTGTGAGAGAAAAGAGGATATGTACCGTTTACTAAATAAACTTAACACTCTCAAAAACCATATTAGTCTCTCATGTGAAGAGGAGAAAAACGATCAGCTTCCCTTCCTAGATATACTTCTGAGTAGACGAGAAGATGGTTCAGTCAAGCGATCTATTTTTAGACAGGTCAATATCTTAGTTATTATAGTTATTGCCCTGTGCAATACAAACGTGGTTTGACAAGGTGTCTTCTCAACAGACTCGACCGTATTTGTACCAATGACGCCATTGATGATGATGTTAAGTTGTTAAATAAAACGTTAATAGAAAATGGCTATCCTCTGAAATTCATAAATAGATGGAAAGTCCATGGTACAGCGAGACCTACTGTAGCCTCGGTAGAGAAAAAGCCTGTCTACATCACCTTACCATTGAGAGGTGATTCAAATAGCCTTTTATTGAAACAACGACTTAAATCAGTCATCAATAAAACCTATTGCGCAGCAAAGGTCATCATCAAAGAAAGAACAAGGTGCATGCTTCATTCAAAACCTAAAGTACATGGAAACGATTGCGTCACATCCCACTGTGTTTACCAATTTAAATGTGTGTGTGGTCACACATACATAGGGAGGAGTAATCGTGATCTCAGCATTAGGGTGAGTGAACATGTACCCAAATGGCTTTAGAAACAAATACAATCAAGTGACCCAATAAGAGCAGAAGATAAACATCCATCATCCTCTATTGCTAAACATATAATTGAAACAGGTCACAAGATTGATCTAAATTCAGCTTTTGTAGTACTATATAAAAGTGTAAAAGGGCGTATACTAAGGTTCATTGAAGCCTTAGCCATACGAAAATTCAAACCCCCTTTGTGTGTTCAAAAACAGTTTGTTCTTACCTTAAACCTACCCTGGTAATATTGACTTAGTATCCAGAGTGATTAGGTTTCGCTTTGTGTTCACAATTATTATTATTATTATTATTATTATTATTATTATTACTCTTATAATTATCCTTATCTCCTCTTACCCCGTTTCCTGTCTAGTTGACCTTTTATTTATATATATAAATGCTCTTAACAAGTATATGTGTGACCAGATTGTTCGAAATGTATTGCGCTAATATATCACATAGTTCTGATAATCTTCGTCTTCTAATATCATTATCGAAATTTATCTAAGTGACTAATTGTTTTCAAATGTTTTTGTTACAATAAATAAAGGTCATAGAGGTGTTAAAATACATAAGGTGATATGACGAACATATATGAATAAAATAATGAGAATATAGGACAAGTAAAGGGGAATGTAGTAGTAATAATAATAATTAAGGCTAAGTTGACGATAACGACAGGACGTACCCCTTTTTTATGCATGGTTCTGGTTTGAGCACATGGATGGTAAGAGCTTCAGCTATTTTCAGGAGTTGGATACGAAGAAACCTAGGTTGATTTGAACGGATTATATATACAACCTTAAAATCAAACTATGGATCCCTAGAATAATTACAGTCGATTAGGTTTTCAAGTATAGAGCTCCTAACTGCTTTCCTCTCACCCTTGTAGAACCAGACTAGGACGTGTTCCCGTATCCGAGTTGAAAGCGAGCGCTGGTTACGGCCAATGCCCTTTGCTCCACAAGAGCAGGTGAGCTGGTAGATGCACATGGAGGCGACCAGACGCGGAAGCTTATTGTAAATATGGTTACTGGGAATACTGTTTTTCGTTTCTGTAATTATTTGTTTTTTTGTTTTGTATTTAGTCTTTGTTGTGTTCACATGATGTTTGTTTTTATTTTATAAATAAATATTCGATTATTGAAACGTCATCGTTTATAGCTAACATTAGTTATTATTCATTGTAAATATTTCAATTTTCTAGGAGGTCAGTCATAGGTGAGATGTTTTTTAAGTATATCACTGACTGACTTGGCGTCCAAATCACATAGCATGTATTGCGTGAATTTACTTAATGTTTCTGGAACATAAGTGTCAACTAACTTGAGACTTTATTAAAATGGGACTTCTCATTGTTTACTTTCATTTGCCTATTTGAATGTATCATATATGTTACTGTTTCATCTACCCGAGTTTAGGTTAGGTTTTTTTTCAGCAAAATAGGATAGAATATCTGATTTAGTTTGATCTTTGAGCTAGTCAGCAAATGTTTCTGTGTATACATGTAATGAATAATTAATGCTCTGTATATTTTAAATTTATATCAATTAAGAGTTTTCAAGAACTTTCTAGGTATTATCTTCGGCGGAATTGAATCGATTTACACTAAATGCCCTGGTACGGCCGACAGTAGAGGGGTCCACTTTCCATCTCGAAATGCTCTCATATGGACACGCGTACACAACCGCTGCCAGGGAAGTTCCACTCACCCTCTTCTCGTGGCGGGGGTGTTGATTACGAAATTGAGAGGACGAAAATCGAATGTCCAGCGCTTTAACCTAACTACTGGACACTGAGGGCCCACCTAGAGGAGTTGGAAAACCTTGGTCTCAAACCAATGGTGCTCATGAACTCCACGACCCTTAGGGAACAAATGGCGTACGAACCAATTATTGGTCACCGGCTACTATGCGATTTCATTTCCTGAAGTTGCTCCACTGCCTTACGGACCAGACGTTTAAGTCGAAGACTCCGGTTGTGGCTCTCTAAGAAGACCACTTGCTTCGGTCTGAGCACCCAGGCAGTATCACAACCCACACACAAATCAAGTGAATTGTGTGGTGCATATGTATTCGGTGCTCCTTTGCACCAATATTTATGTGTTCATAAGACTGTCAGTCAACTACTTTAGACAAAATTTTCACCTTTATTCTCTAATAGTGCACATAAACGATCCTTACATTTAAGCCTGTAAGGCAAATGCCCAATATTATTTAACGTAAACTAATGTTAGTAACATTTAATTAAGTTTGGAAGTATAAAATCTATGATTTGTCTAACTAGAATTTACGACAGATTTTTACTTCATTTAAGATTTCCTTTTGTTATGTATGTTATACCAAACGCTTGTAACGTTGACTCCTTAATCGACTTATAGATATCTGCCAACATGTAACTGACTAAAATCAGGAAGCGTAAATGCTATAGAAAGATTAGTTCATTTACAAAGTCAAAAGTTAGTTATACGGTTAAGAATATTCTTTCAGTATTCAAACACTGTAGGAAAACCCAAAAATTACTGACCAGTTAGGTACTTGAAAGACTAAATTTTCCAAAAAAAAATAAATGTATTGGGCTTTATACATTTCTGGAGAACTTTTTAACTACTTTGATTAACCAAAAAGTTATTTTTCACCGCTATTCAGCTTTGTAGAAGTTCTTTAGAGAACACTTATTGATAACAATATATAACGACCATTTTTATAATTTCACCTTTATTTCTAGGGTTTGAATTTTCAACTTAGCGCTGTTTTATTTTCTATTGGAATCTATGCATATATTGAATATGGTAAGTATGTAAGACACATAGCAACAGTGGTAGATTTCATTCATTTACTTTAATCATTCATCACTTTATTACCAAGCTAATTTTTTAAACGTCAACTGAACAAATCAAATAAACATGATAGATTACACAACAATCAATATCTTTTTACAGTTAAAACAACTGAACAAATATTTGGCTTTATTATTTAACCTTTCATCAATATCTATGAATTTATGAATTCCAACCTAATGGTTACTTATATAAGTTTCTTTAATTTTGGTGAAAGGAACAGCTCTTTGTAAATTTCTGATAGGCAGACTTGGTTTTGTTTCAACTAGAGTTCCGCGTTTTTTAAAAAAGACCACTCTCAAAAAGAACGTATATCTATGCAAAAGATTCCTAATTTAACCCATCTTTGTGCTAATTGGCTAATAAGTGATATAATGGTTTCAAGGTCAAATTCAAAGTCTCTCAACATCTGTAGTAAACCATATTTTGATCACCTTCTTATTCATCTTTACGATTAACAGTACACACATTATTTATTGTTTGTTACAACAATTGAATTAAACATTCCTATATTCCTTATAGTCTTTCGGGAAAAATTGGCCAAGATTCTAGATGCATGTATTGCCAGTCGTCCATGTCCTGAATCCTGTTGTCATAGTAACAAGGTAAATGCAAATTTTATAATTTATCTATCTACCTTACATGTACCAGAATATATATATATCCTATGAACGTTTTATGATATGAGCATATCAAAGTTATGTGTAATTCAGTAAATCTCTATAATCAGGTCTTGATCCTTAAAAATAAATTGGATTGAATTTGCGTTTTTAGACTTATGTACACCGATATAACAGTAGAACTGTAAGCTCGACTTCATTTTTTCACCAAAAAAAAAACCTAAATAAACGAAAACGTTAAACATGTGTAAATATTCAAAGAGTAATTTATATTTATTTCTGCAAATTTAGAAGTATAACAAAATACTGGAACTTAGGTGTATATTTTGTTTGTAAGTTTGTATCTTCTATCGTTGATGATAAGGCCTACAGTAAACTAGTCTTTTTTGATATACATGAATCATGAGTGGATAACCTCGATAGTCCCACTTAACCAAAAGTTTTTATTAAGTTTGGATAATAGCGAACATAGGAAAGAAATTTAGAGTCGTTTTATTTAGCTGATGGTTACTTTGAGTGAGGAGCTCAATGGATAATGCTTCAAAGTTTAAAGCCCAAAATCTAGTAATTAGTATTGTCACACACCTAAGCGATTCACTCTAAATTTTGAACGAGTAAATTGTTAATATCTTCTTTTTTATTCTATCACCTATATACTCGGCCTTTTCTATTACTCAGGTGTCACATTGATCATGGTTTGTACTTGTGTGTACGATTGTACATTTGTATCTATCCCGTTCCTGTATTTGTTACATGACTTTTAAAAACTGAGTCACGTTATCAATATTTAAGTCAGTGTATTATCGAACCACAATGCTTTATTTAATCACTGCATCTTATATAAGCTTTTCTGCTGTGCAACATTAGCCTGTCTGAAACATACACATCTTAAATGCACTTCGCATTTTGCATTCACTAAGATATCCCGTATTCGAGTCCTAGTGTGAATATCAACACTAGAATTTCGGTTCATCCAGCTGATAAGTTCCAAGTAGGATTGACTACACATTCTGAATTTCATATCTAGTTACGACATGTATATGTTCTCTGGTGCCTTAGTTAATTGTATATCTTTATGATATACATAGTAAAGTTTATCTGATAAGAAAGTTTTCTATTCAGTTATTGTGCATAGATTCAAACTTAATATTTTATTCACTTGATTACAAAAATCAAAAGAATATTATTATTTGTTGGCATATTTATTTCACTTAAATTTTGTACTCATGGTTTCTAGTTGTTTGATGTTTTCTAACGATGATAATCTCAATTAATTTTGAATTTACATTGATTTATTTAGCATGTTTGGTTTTGGAAGTTTTTCTTATTGAAAGCTTGAAAATTGAAAATGTCGCTGATCTCATCACTTACACAAAGTTTATTCTTCTATCTGATTTCTTTTAGAATTCATTCTGGGTATATTGGTGCAACGTAGCCTTCGGTTGTTTGGCTATATTTCATTTGGCTTATTTAGCTGTAATGTTTGATACGAGTGAACAGCAATTTAAGGTATGATATTAAGCTATACTTGTAAACCAGTTATATATATATATATATATATATATATATATATATATATATATATATATATATATATATATATATATAAGAGAGAGAGAGAGAGAGAGAGAGAGAGAGAGAGAGAGGAGAGAGTTCGCTTATGAAATATTCATTTCAAACTAATGATCATTGTGGGAGATTTATCCCTTTTATACTTCAACTATGCTCTCCGCCTCCCCTCCCGCCTTACAATTCGTTATAAATCTTTAATGTAAACACTAAGAAACTTTTCAACTCGACGATCTTCATGTTTACTGGATTTACTGGTCTTGATTTTATATTTCTTTGCATTAATTAACTTGTTATTATCTGTAACTTTAATCAAACTCATATAATCCCTGGTAATGTAACATACACTAATCAGCACTGTAGTTGATTGTTTTTGATGTTCAACAATCCACTCTTCTATATACAATGTATCTTGATATTGGATAACTATTTTTATCGCTAAGGATAGGAGAACTCTTGTGATAGTTATGTTGGGAATCAAAGTGACTTAATTTTTTCTTCTTAGAGCTGGTAAATTGTTTGAACTTTCACCGGTCTTCAGTAGCAATAAAACCTTAAGGAAACTTATAAATCGTTTGCCATGTTATACACAGTTAATATCACTTACTATTGTGTTGTAGTTTTTATTATAAAATCTAACATAATTATGATAAAATCTTTCTGCTTTTAGCTGGTGTAATGTTATTCTACGTAATTAACGATTTAAGTCAATAAAAATGAGTGAAACAATATTTATTTTTTCTGAAGACGTCCTCAGAGATCCTGGTAATTATCTAAACGAGTTTTCAACCATATATTTCTGTATATGAACATAACACGTCCAACCCTAATACAACTCAAGTTTGAAAGGTGTGAGATCATAGGTCCCATGATTTCATTTGTTAAAACAATTGTAATATTCCATTGAAATCATGAACTGGTTGATGTTAGACCACCATTTAAACCTGAAAGTAATGGACGATCGATTTGTCCGAGTATGGGACTCATCAGTAGGGCGCATCCACGATCCTGCACTCTGGACTCGAACCCAGGACTTTCGGTTTCACGCACGAACACTTGATCCGTAGGTCATTGAACCGGCATCCAACGATGTTAATGCCCTAACTTCAATCAATCCACGATATTGTGTAGCCAGCTCGCATTCATCCAGTGCTTCTAGGTTTTCGATGGTGGTTTAAAATTGATCGGTTCATGATCCTAATGAAACTCAACGATCTCCACAATCGTGTACAAATAATTGTAATATCCTTGATATGTTGAAAACTGTTGACTTCTGAATATAATTACGTGTATTCTATTTATAGCCTGACACAAATGTGCATCGGCTCAAGTTGCCACATTACATCATCACGATGAAGTGAAAGTAACAAGACGAATGACAAAAGACTTAAAATAATAGTTAGGAGGGTCGATCATCATTTGTAATTTTAATAGCAACAATATCTCATCGAATCTATGCTAAAATTATCATATTTCCATATAAAATCCTTATTGATTTATCTATAGTGCTAAATATTGTTTTCGAATTATAGTCTATTTAAATATTTTTTACTGAATTGTAATTCACACTACTTATTAATTTCTCATGACTATATTCTTTCTTTCAACAGGGCTATAATATGTGGCATACTATGGATAAATGGTACAATTTAGGATTTCTCAGTCATATTGTAGCCTTTGCAAATTTCTTATTTTATTTATATTTATAAATAAATATCGAATAAACTATGTATTTGTTTGTAGAGAATAAAACATTTATCTATCACAACTAAACTTATGCAAAATGTATTTTCTTATCACTCACTCAGCATGTATTTCTTAATAATAATGAAATGAAAGTTTATTTTCCTTTCAAGTATAAACAACAAAGAAAGGTATTATTAACACTGTTGATGAGTTTTGTACATGTACATGATCTCTAATGAAGTTAGATTTTTTAAATCATATAAATTTCTTTCTCTCTGACATTGGTTTAATTAGAGAATTGTTATTTAAATAATGTTCTCAGACTACTATTTGCCTTGGTTTTATTTTTGTTGAGAAATGTTTTATCGGCTAGTCAAAATGGAGTCATGTTCATGGGAATTGAATAATATCTTCTAATGTAATAATTATCAATTCAGGAAACTAATTTTGGAAAATAAACTCTGAATAACATTTTCTAAAATAAGTTTGGAAGTTCAAGCATTATTTCATTATCTCAAAAGTATCCCATTCAGATTATCCAAACAATATCTATATTACTTATTAGTTTCAGTGTGTAGAGGGCTTGAACATCTACCGCTTGCTAGATCTTAAAAGTTTACTAATCTTCGATTCCGAACCGAAAGTTTGAAATGTGGTAGATGCTTGATCTTTAAACTTAGTTTGCATAAATAATGTAGGGGTATATATAAGGTTAGATATGATCTTGAGACTCTAGGCACTCTAATAATTAATACTGAACTCGGAAACTGAGCAGTTAGGTTAATAAAAACAGGATCAGTCGTTTTCTAGATTTCTCTTTAAAGTTTTTAAAGACCACTTCTTAGTCATAGTATTTTTATCACTTGCCTGACTACTGGAGACAGTTTCGAGGAATTATCAAAGTCTCCTAACACTTTTATCACATTTTTCAGTTAACTTTACCATTATCTATTAGCAATATGAATCCTGCTTTGTCCATTTCAATTTGGAAAGTTCTTTAGCTACAGTAGCCTTTACACACTAGTTCAATCGAAAGGATTTGTATATGGCTGTCTGGTACATTTACGAAAGAATAACTAGATATCTAAAATCACAACAAGAGAACTTACTATTTGTTAACATTGGATGACTAAATAATACTTCTATTTTTTAATGATTTGTAATATTGTTTTAACTTGAAATGTCATAGATTACTCGAAGTCATTAGCTCAATGTTCTCTAGGAGTATCGAACATCCTATACCATTCCATAATGGTTCTCTACATTTATATGTCAAGTTGATTGAATAGTCCGGCGTAATTTCAAATTATTTATCTTTCGCTTTACAAAACTTACGCCTTGAACATAGTGATACCAAGTAGAACAATAGGCATCACAATTGTAGGGAAATATAAATTGTTCTTAAAGAAGTTACACTTATATATTCTCCATTTTAGTTCATGTTATACGATATTTTTATCATTGATATGACAAAATTTCATCCCATAGTAGTTTTGAAAGTGGTCTCTCAGCTACACTAAATCCGTTGTAATTATTAATTTGATATAAATAAAATTTAAAAGGCTTTCTTCCGTTTTCATTTGTTTTTCTTTGTCTGACCACTAAATGTCATTAATGTAAGATGTCCTTCGGGCAGTTACTTTCAATCAAATCGTATTTTAATTAACATTTTGATCGAACTGTAATCTTATCTAACAGAGATTGAACTAACAAAATATTAAGACATTTTGTTATTTGAGAGTTTACTTTTTGCAAGTTGATCATTCATACGCAGAAATTACATGTCAAGAATATGTGAGGAGTCAGTCAGGCACAACATAGAACCTGTACGTATGTACATCAATTCAAGTTGCTATACCCCATTTGCACAGAGAGATGAAATTGTCAGACCAAATTGAAGAATAATAGGGGTAATATCAGTATCATTGGCAAACTGAATTCGGAAAATCCATTTAACCTAGAGAAAGCTATTCATTCTTAATTAATTAGTCAAGATCCTTTCTTTGATTGTAAAGTTAAAACTCTCACTAACTAGTAATTCCATTTAACGATAAAACTATTTAATGCTCTCTTATATATATGCAAAGATACGCTAAATGCTTACTCGTTAAGGTGTAATTACGTCGAAGATTAGTTCTTTTTTCGTTCATTGACAATTTTTCTTAAATAATTCAGAGTACTTACATTGCACTGGGTAGTATACAATGCTCTATCACAAGTTAAAGTTGAGGTAAATTTAAATATGATCATCAAATCACTATCTAAAATGCCATTTAAGCAACCAAGTCATTAGTGTTCAGTTAAACAACGTACGATCAAATGAAGTTTAAAAAAACTACTTACAACTCTATTGTGATTCCGAACAGGAATATTTCTAAACCTGTACCAATGGATTTCCGATGCTATTATAGGTTGATTTTCTTATTGGAGAACTGATAGAAAACCTTGACAAACTTACAAAATACATGATATTTTAACGGCTAATTTTTCGTATCATAATATCGATTCAAGCGTTAAGCAGATACTATTCTAAAAAGTATCAAATTCAGTTTCTTTAAACATCTATGTTCAGATTATTTCACCAAACAGTTTTACATACCAAAATGGTCTACGCAAAAATAGAAATAAAAAACTTGAGTAAACCGGTCTGCGATCTGAAAGCTTACAGTGTTATAACATTCATTGATTTAGTTAATAACTCATCAAAAACTGTTTGCTTTTTTAGTATGTTTAGATACATCAAAATTTTCGTAATACATACTAATAAAGTAATTCACATTTGTTAATAGAAACAATTGACTGTCAAATTCGTACTTCGTAAGAGTTTGTTGATGTTTGGCTTCTAAAAGAAAAAAAGTATTATCAGTGAGATTTCATTAGCCGTAGTGTTTCTTTTTTATGTATAAACTTGCTCTAGATTAGATCTACTGTGAAAAGTCTACAATCTCCACGAATCCTCATACTAATAATAATCATATGCTCTTTTGTGACTAACTTTAGGATGGAACTCCTGGAGTCCTAGTGAGAAGCCGTGACCACTCCAATCCGTGTCGGGTGTGAGATAGTTATTCACCTCAGACAATAGATAAATAGCTGCTCAAGATCATGGGCCGATTGAAGTGTGACATGAACATCGTTGGTTGCCGGCTCAGTGGTCTAAGGGTTGAGCGTTCGCGCGTGAGACTGAAGGTCCTGGATTCGAGTTCCGCATGTGGTCTGACTGAGACCGTGGCCAGGTAAACCCTCCAGTCAACCTCTCGGTCGACTTGGACGGGTAAAAGCAGACCTTAATTGGCTCCCTTGGCTAGAAATTTTAGATTCGCCAAGTGGATGTGAATCTCCTACTTCATGAATCCACTTCAGAAATGGGCCCGTATTTCCTAGATAATCACTTACCTTTCCCAATAAAGTTGTTCTCCAACTTCACCCTTCGAGTAACCAAATGGGCCCTAGGCGGTGCAAGAAATCCGTCCCGGGTATTGGCTGTTTTCAGACTTCTCTTAATTACTACCTCACCCACCTTTCCTTATGTTTTTGAACTCTATTCCCAAATGACCTCACACCTGTTCTTACACATATAAATCTATAAATAATCATTATTAATAATGCTTGTTATTCCGATTTTTTCCATTATCAATGTCAATTTCACATTATATCATACCCCAGTGATTCATTTTAATACATATATGGTTGAAAGCGGCTAATGGGAAGCTGTGAAATACAGTAAATTCATATCATTCTGCATCAACTATTTTTTTGGATTCATCCGGAAAAATAACAAATTATGGAATTACCTTGCAAGTTTTGAATTAATAATTGGTAAATTTGTAACACTTCTCCAGGTACTTGAAGTTGATAACAATGATGAGACCTTATTGTCCGACATATTTCGAACCACACCCAAGCGTATTACTTTTCTATAGGAAGGATTCTGTTTTTTTTTTACTGTGTTGAATGAATCTGAAGATATATTTGGTAGACTCTTTTTAATAATCACATTAGTTGAACCCCGTAACTAAATATTATTCAAAAGTAAACGTATATAGAGAGATTTATTTATGTAAAATTTATGGATTAGGAGAGGCATATTTTGTTCATCTCTCATTACGTCATAGCAGAAACATTTTCCTGAACATGTGAAACACAGTTATTCAAATTCGACCTCTCTAGTGAGAACCAGATATTAAACCAATAAGAACTTATCAACACATAATATAGAGTGGAATCATTGGAGTAAAATTGGAGAGAATTTAACAGCTTGAGATAGCCTCGTATATTCAGTATATCCACGTACATCCACTTTTAACATTGATCATTCACAGGTCACCTTGAACAGACATACCACAGTATGATTGAAATATCTTAAATCGAATGGAAATGTCCCATCCAACTTATCGATTTATTAATGTATGGAGATTATTAAATTTTACCGTTTGCAACACGGACTAGATTTAATCAGATGTTAGTAGCCTACCAGTGACAGTGGAAGATAGTTTTGTGAAGTGGATGAAGTTGGATGTTTTCACTCAGATGTTGGTTCAGTGGTCTAAAGGTAAGACGTCCACTGCGAGACTTGGAGGTTCCTAGTTAGATCTACAAATGGATCACGGATACACTCCACTATAGAGTCCCATATTAGAGTGAGCTAACTGTCTGACGCCTTCTGCTCTTTAATGATTATCTAACCAACAAAGTCCACCAATTAACTTAGTAATATAATCCAAACATAATTTTCATTATGATGTAGAATTATCTGATGAAGAATCAGAGTAGTCAAGGAGCACTGAACAAGTGTTTTGTTCAACTTTATGATTTATCACGCCAAGATAGCTCCCGATATCTGAGCAAACCCGAGAGTTTGAGATTTCAGTGCTGTCTTGGTGACTCTAAATAAATTATTCACACCGTTTCAGAGTAGTAAAGAATATATGCATTAAAAGTTACTATATTTGCGATGACCTTAGAAACTGAATGAATGTTTGGAGTTAGTGCATAACTAGCTGCACAACGACGAATAGTTAACAGAAACTTGGCTTAAAATTCATATATTTTCTGTTATTCATTTTCAAGAAGTGTGTAAAATGGTGATGAATATCTGCAACACATATACATTAATAAAGAATATGCTTTTTAAAATTTCTCTTCAAGTTTTCCAGTTGTGCACTGAACTTGGTAGTCAAAAGAAATTGTCTACTCTGAGGGAAACACTTTACTAATCGCAGATTATAACTTCATGATTACCGTTAGAAAAAGTGTGTCTCTGTGAATATTGAAATGTTCAGCGTCCAGTATGTACCTTAAACCGATTGTAAAAAAGCGAAACTGTGGAAATATCAGATGAGGTTATTGTAGATGATTGGTGGCCTAACTAAAAATTGGTCTTTTTCAGTATCATCTCTTGCCTTTCACATAATGGATCAGTACCTCCTATTTGAATACAAAACGTTGTATGTTTAATCTTTTTTCATATAATCCATATTAATGGTCCTTCCACTTATTTCTTATTCATCCCTTTAATTTCACTATGATGTGGCAACATCCGTTGATTTACGTCTATCGTGGGACTTATATCAGTTATAACTGATATTTGGGGTAGAAATCAGTAAGTTGTCCTTTAAGCTGCAGATAACCCTCTTAAGACGGAGATATTTCCACTACTTAATTAATTTCATGCTATCTAGTACACATTACTTCGATTTATATAACTCTTGTAACATTAATATGATGAGTGTAGTCATTTAACCAACTATAGACGAAATTTCCTCTTTTTTCTATATTATTACAGGTCTTTTATCAAAAGGTCCTAGAGGTTATGAAATTTTACAATATTAGTGCCTAATTCCTAAAATTTTGTCTGAGTGAATCCCAAAAGTAATACATGTTCATTTACTAAGGTTTAATCTGTTATGAACAGAAGTTCTACCCACCTCTCTAAACCAAACTCACTGGCACATGAATAAATTAATTACTAGTCCATGTTGTGAGTATTTGTCGTCAACGTTAGCCAGTTATAATTAAAGCTTTTGAAGGGAATTGATAGCATAAACTTTTATGATCAAAGCATTATTTAAAAGCATTCAGAACTTCTGCAATCATTATGAAACTCACAAATCGCGAATAGTGATCCAAAATGTTGTTTATATCCTTTTTAGTATACCCTTTGTTAAATGGGATAACGATACCCTACAATGTAGAGATATATACCATATTATTCTGTTTATTTAATAAAATTTGATTTACCTTCCATTGGATTTTTTCCAACATATACGGTCGATGTGAGATAGGTAGACCAATTTTCACTCTCAATAATTTATGATGATGACCATGATATGCTTCAGTGTAATTATTTATTAGTAAAGATAAGCTCTAAAAACGAGCATAAGAAATGAAGTTACGGTTATTAAAAACAGTTTATAAAAATGTGATAACTTTTATTACTGGGAAGTTAAGCGGTTTATACATCAGATTTTCTCGTCGACTCAACCCCAATGCACCAAATAAACCACTGGAGTATATTCCAAGCACGACGTGTCTAAATACTTTACCATTGAATTCAGAAACGAAGGATATTGTAAAACGTTTTAGGTATTCTTGACCTTGTGTGAGAAAACTTGAAAATGAACATAAAAGTACGTAAACATCGTTATGTACACAGAAACACATTCACTTACATGGCTAATATTGTTGCCTCTAGACATTTTATAGGGAGTGAAGCCAACATTATCATTTTTACAACCTCCTCAAGTCTATACAATCAAAATAACGAACATACATTCAAATAATTTATAGTAGGTTTGGTCGAACGGATTTACCTAACAATAGATGCACCTCGATTTATTTGGAAGAATTGCATTCCAGTATAATTGTATCTATATTTTGAAGAAACAAATAGCTTGTCATAAGAATAAACAACAACACAGGTTCATTTGAATAAACAGAAATTTATGGCACAAGTTGCAATAGTATGACATGTTTACTTCTAAACTTTTGATTAAAATACACTGAATACACCATTTGAAGTCAGTTTTGTTCACAAACCAGTACTGTGTACATACGAAAATCATAAAGATCTTACGTCGAGTGGATAATTCTACCTTTACATTTTGAATTCAAGTTGAGGAAGTAGCTGATTGTAAATGCAAGCATTTCGCTAAACATAAAATATCTGTAGAAAATAGAGGTACATATTCCCATACATGTCATTTAGCAATGATTAAGTCTGTTAAAAAGAAACAGTTCTTACTAAAATTGTTTGATAAAACTAAACATAGCAGGAGTTTGGACGATTATACTTAACCTTGTATCCCTCGATCCAAATTTACGTTCAACCTTTTGCACATACCATGGAAAGTATTGAATATAAGAATGAGGAGTTAATATTATGTTTAATAAGGACGTGAAATAGTATCAGTATATTCCAAAAGTAAGTCCAGTAAAACAGCTCAAAATCATTATCACCCTCAGAAAACCCGGGTATTCGTATCATATGCCATTTCCAAATGTACCATATCGACAAAACATATATTGATGTCATGAAATCTAAATGAAAAGTGAATCAATCAATTTAAGCCCTGGCACAAATGGAAGTAAGAATGTGCTCCCAAACCCGCTCAAAACAAAATCAGTGATGAGAATTAAAGATGATTGTGGCAGGACTGATAGAAAGATGAATAAATTAAGAATATAGTTTGAGCAAAAAGAGAAAACGTGCACGCGTAATGGAATATCTGAGCTAAAGATCTGGAAGATAAATAGCCAATTCAAAATAATTATTTTGAATTGGCTATTTCTTGAAATACTCTAAAGGTTGATGTGCAAACGACCCAAACGACAAAGACTTACTAGAGTGACGAACTACCTATGAGAACTTTACTGGTGTCTACTCACCACAAAAATGTTTGTGCTAATTATGTTCAAACATACGAATGGATGGATATCCATCCATCTCGTATGAGAACTTTGGAATAATAATCACAATATCAAGCTCAAGAGGAGAAAACACAAATAAGGCACTGAAATATTGAGGTTCAACCAAACTATTACATATTTTTTAAAGCAAGGAGAATATCAAAATAATACACATTTAAATACATATCAAAACAGAATAAAATAGTTAAAACATCGTACTCAAAACTGTTGAGGTAATTTTGTACTTTACTTAAAAACATTTCTGCTGTTTCAATTTTGCCCATCCTGAATTCAGGAAGCTTCGTAAACATTATGAAGATATGAATAATTTACAGGCATTTTGGATATAACGTGATCTTGAAAAGATTCATATAGATCGGTGATCTGCTTTTTACAGTCTCTGTTTTGTTTTAAACAGAAATCGAACATTGATTTCCAAGTTTCTGCGTTAATAGGAAACCCACTTCTATTTGTAAGGAAAGGGGCATAATCATACATTTTGAAAATGTTATTCTTTCATCACCATGATTTTAATGACTCAAACAAAGTGATGTGTTCCTCTTTAATTATACAATTATTGTTTAACAGAAGATTCAAAAAGAATGGTTCACAAATATATGTATATATATATACCTCAAATAGAATTATTGTGTTAGGGAGTTTTAATTGTCAGCGAGAATAAAACCTGCTAAGGATGGATAATGAATTTTTTTCATTCAAATAACTTCGTGACAAGCCAGTGTAAATTGATTGATTTCTCTGCGTCCGCTTATTTGCGTTGTGGCCAAACTCCAATCAGTTATTAGTGTCTAGCAAGGTTGGTCAAATTAACAGATTTTAATAGTACTTTTGCATTCGACAATTTACTGAGCTATCTTAGTTTAGTGTGTTACCGTGCTAATATTGGAAAAGTGAGGTTGCTGGAATCAATGAAACCCTATTAGTCGGCAAAAAAGTGTCTGATCTTGGTTATAATCAAGATAAACAAATTAATCAATTAAATATATGAATAAAACGTATGAAACATAAATAAGCGGAGGTGGCAATCTACAAAGTGAGAGGTATGTGTTATCAATCATAATAATATATGCAAAAATTTGTGATGATAAAAGCGATGAGAATACTGAGTAAAACCGCCAGAAATGCTGTAGGGTGAACAACCAATTCTAAGAGATTAAAGATGCCACATGTATCCGAAGTTTGACGAGCTTTTACCAGTAACACCTTTATGATCAAAGTATACTAACACGCCCAAACCATAAGCCGGGAATCTAGGGACTTGAAAATATATCTGAGACGCTATCGATGTGTCGAGAAGCGTTTAGTCTATTTAGGGGATGCGTAGCACGATGTACTCACTCATGATCTCGTGCGGATGTGTGACTGAACCCCTCCAGCTAGGTGAGTCCAGTAAAATGAATGGGGTCTGTATCAAAGCTGACGGCCTTCGGAAACATTTATTTTTGAGGTTTATCCACGACTACTAGATATCCCATGATGATCGGAAAGTGGAGAGGTTCAAAACTGTTTGCCAGTTAGCGTTCGGACGTTAGGGACCTCCAGTATGTATGAACTCTACCTTGGTGCAGATCGTCTATCTGTCTGGCTCTGACTTTGATGAATCCATATTGGGCTTCACCAAGTGTTATTTTTGTCCATGTTCTCCCCTAGTGTTGATTCTACTCCTATAATAGCCGGTGACAGTTTATTGAGTGCCTTGACAGTTTGTATTCTGGAGTGCAGATAATTTCTACATAATACTTCTGTGCTATAAGGTGGATGTTATTACAGCCTAATCGTACTATGTTCCTGTTGTATAAATGCTCGCTTGAGTTGTTTGAGCACCAACTATCTCTACCGTTTCTAAACTGATAAGTAGATCATGTCCTACATCAACAGCAAATCACTCGTCACAAAGCATAAGTTCAGCCGGGTAAGCACGTTGACTGCAAATTCTGTGACCGTAATCATGTTTGTAAATTAGCATGCCCCACATTGCTTATGGTTTTTGAGAAGAAATTGTTCTTATTGTTTCTGAGCGATTGGTCAAAACACAAAGTATATGATCAACTTCCACTCACATTTTTCATCAGACTGTCATGTTGTTAGGTTCGTTAACCTTGAGGATACTACTGATTCGGCTTATTCGGAACGGAACGAAGGCTCAGGATTCAGAGACTCGATAGACTATTCTGGTCCGTTGTCTTCGACTCAGCTAACTCGATCAAGAAGTCTTGGTAAGGCGTAGAAAGTGCATTTTATAAGCAACAGCAGATACCAGTCAGGTCAGGCAGATCAGATCAAGCATACAAGTCAAGCGTCTTTACACAAATATATATCGATTTTGTCATAGGAAATTTTTAAACAATAATCAATGAGTCATCAATTGTCTGCTATTTAAAAATTTAATCGATAAGTTCATCAACTGACCGCCATTCAAATATTTAAACATTTAATCGATAATTTAATCGATATGATAAACTTACGAAAATATGAGTCTGTGGATATATCGGCCCCAACACATGTGTAGACATGGACTAGGAGGAGGCAAACATGTAAACTGTATGACCAGACTTACCTACTGCTCGTGCCTGTTTACCATCGTAGAGAAGCATACGCCACCCACCAAACTTCTATCCGAGCTCCGTCCTCGAGAATCTTTTCCAGCGCTTCCCAGTTGTCATTCGTCGTTTCATGTCTTTTCTGATCACCGACGGAATATGTTTCTTGTTCTTCCTCTTTTCTGTTTCGCTTCAAAGTTTCAAGTTAGTGCTTGACTCGTGTTGCAGTTTGGTGATTTTCGAAATGTATGTACAGTCTACTTCCAACGTCTTTTACTTATTTCCTCTTCACATGAAAGCTGATTCATCCACCACCAAATTAGGCTGTGCAGTGTAGTCCGTCGTAAGAATTCCGTAGTCAGTCGTACGAGTTCCAGATGATATCGACGATCTTCTCAGGTACATTGTAGTGTTGAAGGTAGTCCCGTAAGGTCCTCCTATTCACATTGTCAAACGTCTTCCCACAAACAAGGAAGTTAGTGTACAGTGACGAATACCATTCAGTCGACTGTTCAAAGATAATCCGCAGTGTCGCTATTTGGTCTTTTCACGACCGATCCTTACGGAATCCAGCCTGCTGATCTGGAAGTTTGGCGTCTACTGAATCTTTCATCTGGTTCAGCAACACTCTGTTGAAAACGTTTCCCGTTGCCGATAGTAGTTTGATGCCTGTGTAGTTCTCACACATTTTTAAGGTCTCCTTTCTTTGGTATCTTGATGAGATATCCTTCTTTGCAGTCTGTTAGCGGCACTTGTTCCTCCTCACAAATCTTCCTGAATAGAACGTGGAGCATGATTGCAGTTACTTCTATGTCTGATTTCAGTGCTTCAGTTGGTATATTTTCAGTTCCTGCTGCTTTCCCACTCCTGATCAGTTTGATGGCTATCCTGAATTTTGCGATCGTTGATGGAGTGACAGCTATAGGAAGATCTGCAGGTGCTACTTCGATGTTCTGGTTCTCACGTCTTGCATTGACCTTCTGAATATTTTAGTGATACTTATATGATCGATCTGGTTCTTTATATTGTGATCCGGTGAGATTTACATAGTTTTGTGTATGCTTTTGTGCGGAAATGTTGTGCCGGCTATAACCAATTTATTGAATGCACATACATTTGCGAATCTTTCCCCATTTTCGTTTCTTTCTCCCAATTCATGTAGTTTCATGATACCTTCATACCAGGTGTAGTCCATTCCGACCTGGTTGTTTAGGTATCGCGTCAGGATGGTTAGGTTGTTTCCTTAGCACTTCACTATTATATACTTCAGCGTCTCGTAAAACTGATCGTTATTGTCTTCATTACTGTCATTGGCGGGTGCATAACACTGAATAGCATTCGTGTTAATTCCCTCGTTCATTGTATTGAAAGGTGCTTTGACGGTTCAGGGTCCATCAGATTCCCATTCTATGAGTGATTTACGGGCTTCTCTGGACGTCATCAGAGCATCTCCCTCAGTGTGTGGGGCATGTCCCTCTTTGTGATCGAAGTACAGTAGCATCTCTCTCGTACTTAAACGTTGCTATCCAGAATGGGTCCAATCAATTTCACAGATTCTGAAAAACACCAATTTGTATCTCATTTCGTAGCTATTTCATCAGCCCTATTGATCTTTCACACCGTCCGGACGTTCCATGTACCTATATTAACTGTTGCCGTCATCGTTAGATGGGACATGAGCCCCATGACTACCGAAGAATCTCGGCTTCCACCCCAAAGTATCATAATTCTTCTGAAAGAAGATCCTTCAACTCGGAGTACACAGTTTAAATCGTGTAATCTATTTATTCTAGCTGTCGATTTTTTGGCGATTTTTTCTATGGATTGGGTTTACTTACTTCATTTCCAACACTCCTACTTTGTCCGTACTTGGGACCGGCAGTAACAGTAGGAGAGCTGTGAGCAGAGTTGGTATAACCAAAGGCGTCCATAATTTCCCTTTACATAGAAAACTGAATGGGATTTGCCTAATCGCTAGGGCTAAAGAGATTCTGTGTAATGAGCAAATATCCATCATTTGAGATGCTAATGTGCTGGCAGATTTACGAGTAAGGTTTCATGTCAAAAGTTATCTGCTATAAGAGAAAAGAAGTGTGGTGATATTTCACTTCAAAATCGTGAATGGTTCTCGTTTCAATACGCACCGGAATAAAGAATGGTTCTCTATACATAACCTAGACAACAATCAAGATCGAAGAACAAGGAGACATTGGTTCAACAACTTGGGTTGTTTGGTTAACATTTGACTGAAAACATCTTAGTACTGTTAGACCATCATTTAGCAGCAAATGTAGAGATATTTTCTGTCCACTTCAGAAGGCATTTTGAAGAAGAATAAGTGGCAGCAGATCAGGAAGAGGTATGCATAACCACGATATTTGAGGAAGATATTACTGAACGTGGGAACTACAGGGGCACCTTACGACTAGCAGTGTAAGGTAATGATATCAACAGCGTTGCTCAACGGAATGAAAGATTCAGCAAGCCTGTAGTGGTATTGGTCCCACTCACACAATCCTCAAATCCGAACATGAGAAAGCTGGAAAAATATATATTCATCAACAAGGGAGAAATTAGGGATAGTTAATCGAATTCCATTAGCATGGCATGGCTCAGACTTGAAGGCGTGGTCATTGTCGTATAGACCATTCACTTCCACAATAAATGCATTATTCTATCATCAGCCAAAATATGTTCTTCCTAAGTGCTAAACATCATATTGCATGTTGTCATGATACGATGAGTCAGGGTAGAGAATGATGTGACGTCCACATAAGATCTTATAGATTAGGTGGTCACATCATGACAAATCTACAATTCTGGCCTATTATTAAAGTAGTATTAATTTCCGAAATAGATCACAATCACCCAAACTAATAACTTCGACACCAACAAACTAGATTTTGAAAGAATCTACCATTTGCAGACTAAAATCGTAACCTCTTGGGTTATTTTTGGGCGATCAGGTGAATG